GTTTATCATTGGTCTAATAGATGATTGAATGAGGTTGTATACAAAGTGTTAGTTTCTGTCACTTTTTAAGTGCATATCATTTTTGAGACTCATTATGCGTAGAAATTATGTCTGCATTATCTTATCAATCGAAATTTAAATAATCCCAAAATTTCACCCAACAAAGTGGTACGAACTTATTCAGAGAAATTGCATTATTGCAAACCTAGCAATGATTTATCATCAGACATGGTTCTAATATTAAGTTTATTTCACTTTAAATATATATAAGGAACAAGTAATAAGTAAAAATGTTTCTGGCGATGTGTGCATGTTTTATAAACTCAACAAGTCATTAGTAATAATATAAATCGAAGTTGAATCTGAAAAGTTATCGAGTTTGAAATACATCAGTTGTTTAACCTCCCAATTATTATTTTTGATAAGGACATTCAACTAAATCATAACAATTTAGTAATTAAAATATCCCATAGTGTCATTGAATAAGAAAAAAAGAATTCAGCGAAGAAAATTTTCTTCTCGACGAAATCATTGCATCACCAAAATGAATTCGAGGATAAATAACAAATGAGGTTACGTACTAATCAAGGGGTAAGGAAGGAAATCGTTTATGGGTCAGATAATAGTCCAATTGACAAATATAAAGAAGAGCGACAAATACAAATGTCATAATAATAAACTGAATAATAATCAAGAAAACTTGTATAAGGTAATAATAATAATAATAACTGACTAGGGTTTAAAGTGGAAAATAGTAATTTTAAAAATTCCATAATAATCAAATAAAAGTGCAGAAAAAAACAGAAACATACCCATTAAGGGAATTAGGGGCAAGGAAGGATGAGAGGTTAGACAAATCGTTTCTGCACGCAAAGTTCGGGCTTGAGTTCGTGAATTGCCAATGCCAAAGTAAAGAGTGAATTAAGTTCCTCTTTCTACTCAATGGTACCCAACACTAAGTCCTGAGTTCTCCAATTCCTTTGACTTTGTCGAACCAATTAAAAATATCAACGTAATTGGTAAGAAAATGATCTCATTAGATGTCACTTCACTTTTTACAAATGTTCCGCCCACAGAAACTATATGTTTTTTATGTGACTATATTGAAAACAACAACCTTGATATATGTATCCCTAAACATTATCTAAAAGAATTACTTCTACGATGTACGCTCAACGTGCAGTTTAGATTTAATGATGATTTCTATAGACAAACAGATGGAGTTGCAATGGGTTCTCCATTGGGCCCTCTCTTGGCTGTTTGCTTCATGATCAATCTGGAAAATTCTGTACTTCGTCCAGTAATTGAGTGATTTCATTTTGATAAGAGATAAATGGATGATACTTTCATTATTTGTGAAGAAGACATGGACCTAAATGAAATTTTGAAAAGTTTCAATAATTGTCACCCCTCAATTCAATTTACCCTAGAAGCAGAGGCAAATAATGAATTTCACTTTCTTGATGTCCGATTAAAAAGAACGCCCGATGGTTTTATACAGCGATCTATATATAAAAAACCTACTTGGAATGGGCAGTACAAAAATTTCCATTGTTGTGTCCCATTTAGTAGAAAGAGAAACTTAATTCACTCTTTATCCTCTAGGATCAAGCGAATCTGTTCCACTAACACAATAGATGAAATAATTTAACTTCGATAAACTCTCATCAGAAACGGTTATCCACCTAGATTGGTCGATAGTAACTTAACACCTAGAATTCATCATGTGGAAGTATCGACAATACAAAAGAAAACTATAATATTCGAATTATCGTATGAACTAGGAATTCCAGAATTAACGCAATTGAATTAAGAAGACACAGGCACAAACGAATGTATTGTATTTAGAATTAGAAATCGAGCATTCAACAAGTACAAAGATATCATTAGTCCATTCAAACACCACATCCGCCACAGCTTAAATAGAAGTATAAGTGTTTGTAATCGGTTGTACGTCTTCTTGTTAAGTTCATCCTGAGTCTGTCCGACATTGTATAAGATAAAAACTTTGTAGTATCTAGAAAGTGCTCATTAGTATTGGAATTAACAAACGAAATCGGAACAAACTCACCTGGAATTGTATACAATCAGCATATCGGTTTTGTACTGAAATCATTAATATCTAGAATTTGAACCATAGATTTTCAACACTATCCTCCCCCACGAAATAATGTTGGATCTTTATATCCCCAAGTTATGAATAATGTGGCTTCATTTAAAACATATTTCTCACATTGTTTAGAGTAAACATTGGAACTGTTTTTGTGGTAAGGGTAAACAGAAGTTGATATGAAATCATCCGAAATGTAATAAAACTCGAGGTCACTTTGTACTCGTGCTTCGCATTGAGCAGGTTTTTCACAAGGATCAAATGCATTATGAGGATAGGTAATATATGATATGACATTAGGATTTGATTCTTCTGAAATATTCTTATGAAATTCATTAGGACTGTCATTGCAGAGCGTAGGATCGTTAGAAAAATCAGCATCTATCCGAACCACATCAGGTTTTTGATCATGATTAGGTACATTTAACATATTTTCCTCCGAATTGCAAGTAATTTCATTAGAAATATGTGAATCATTAGGAAAAGTCATACCTGGTACAATAGCATGAGAATTCTGATAAATCGGTTGATTAGGAACTGTTGTCTCACAAGAATTCTGGATTTCATTTAACTCTGAACTGCCATATGACTCTGCACTGTCTTTTGAAATCGTTGATAAAGATAAATGATCATCATGAATACTCGACTCAGTAGAATCAGAATTACAAGACTTAATATTAGTTGCAGTAAGATGAACATTAGCACTACAAACTGACTGAACTTGTCCAATATCACGACATTTGAAGCACTTAGAATTACGAAATTGACATGAATTAGAAGAGTGGAACTTGCAACAGGACAAACACTGACCAAACTTGTCCCCATCCTCGTGAACTTCATCCAAACTCAACGAATTGTCTGCATAATCTTGAGTATGAACTGGGTTGGGGTGACCTAATGTAGTGGACTTTTTTATATCCTCATGAATCATTTTACGAGATCTTCCTCCTTTACGACATTCGAAATTTGTATACTGAACATAGTCTAGCAGCAGCTCCTTGAGAGCTGTATAAGAAAGCGAAATGGGCTTTTCCGGCATAGCCAGAGTTCTTAATAAGCTGTATGTTTCTTTTCCAATGAATGTGAGGAAGTGTGCCACAATATTAACATCCTCATCATCTTCCTTGGTCATAGCCCAGATTTCGAACCTTTCAAAGTAATCTTCAAATGCTTCAGGAGTTGAATGAATATCTAACTTTTCCATTGCAGGCTCCATCGCGACGCCAATATAATATTCGAATTATCGTATGAACTAGGAATTCCAGAATTAACGCAATTGAATTAAGAAGACACAGGCACAAACGAATGTATTGTATTTAGAATTAGAAATCGAGCATTCAACAAGTACAAAGATATCATTAGTCCATTCAAACACCACAAAAACCCTGTTCATGAATATGGAATTTAAAGGAGACACGGCTGCTGAAATCTTAAATAAACGGATTTCAAAATCATTGAATAAAACTTTCTACACAGCCAAGCTCCGAATTGTTTTCTCAAGCCGGCCTACCATTCCTGGATGTGTTAAAGATAAACTTTCGCTTTGGGCCACATCAATGTGTATTTATAAATTTACGTGCTCATGTGAGGCTCGTTATATAGGCCGAACAAAGCGATCACTTTCCAAACGCATCTCAGAACACTATCCGGCTTGACATTAAAAAGGAAGAATGAATTTGTAAAATCTCAGCGAAAGAATTTGAAGTAGTTCCTTTTAATGTCTCACATTAACTCGGCGCCCAAATATTGTGAAATTATTCTTTCAAATTTAGACAAAAGTTCTTATTTACTATCCGGCTTGGCTTGTAAAAGGAGAATGTAAAACAATCACTAGTTCTATGCAGGAGTATTTAGTCAATTATAGACACACCGCTCCCAAGTATTCTTCTTTTAAAGTGATCTACAGAGTCAAAGGAATTGGATCGAAGGGGTGTCGAATCAATATTCTATGCACTGCTGAGGCATTGGCAATTCACGAACTCAAGCCCGAACTTTGCGTGCAGAAACGATTTGTCTAACCTCTCATCCTTCCTTGCCCCTAATTCCCTTAATGGGTATGTTTCTGTTTTTTTCTGCACTTTTATTTGATTATTATGGAATTTTTAAAATTACTATTTTCCACTTTAAACCCTAGTCAGTTATTATTATTATTATTACCTTATACAAGTTTTCTTGATTATTATTCAGTTTATTATTATGACATTTGTATTTGTCGCTCTTCTTTATATTTGTCAATTGGACTATTATCTGACCCATAAACGATTTCCTTCCTTACCCCTTGATTAGTACGTAACCTCATTTGTTATTTATCCTCGAATTCATTGTGGTGATGCAATTTTTTCTATCCTCCTATAAACATACATTTTCCATATAGCTTTATATACGAAAATACAGCTTAAGTAAATGATTTCGTCGAGAAGAAAATTTTCTTCGCTGAATTCTTTTTTTCTTATTCAACAATTTAGTAGTTGTATTCATAAGTCAATTGAAGCTAGACCACTATTGAAAATCGTGGAGCACTGGATGGCCGTTTCGTCCTGGATTCAATTGACTCATGAATTCTACTATTAAATTGCTATAATAACCACAAAACCTCTCTGTGATTATGAATCATAATAGCTTATGTTGTTTTATCTCTGTTTGGTTTCACCCACAGATTCCGTAAATGAATTGAAACACTCTATATTCAGATAACTAATATCTTTTCGTAACTAGAGTGTTATAAGTATCCTGAATAAGAGTACTATTTTGCATATTGATACATTGTAGTACATTTGATCGTCTCTTCAATACAACAGATATAAACGAAGGTCAATTAATTATTTGTTTTTTTTTAAGAGTCCCTTTTACTTCTTAGTATCATACCAGTGAAAACTGTTCAACTTGCTGTCTAACAGTACTGAATTGTCAGTTACATAATTTACTATACAAAGAAGTGATAAAGAGTGATACATTATCCTGATAGTTTATAGTTATTCCATTATTAGTAAACCAATTAATTAACTTTATATTAACTTTAGATAAATTACAGTAATGTAATTAAATTTACAAATAATAGATGAATATTGCAATTAACTTGTAAGTATCTGATATACACAAATTTACAATCTATAAATTGATTTTTGTACGTCTTCAACAGAAAATAGATATCACGTTCCGATTGAAAAGTTTATCACAAAAATATGAAATTTATTGGAGACGGATTGATAGAATTTTGTATAGATCTTTCAAAAACTAAGGAAGATAACAAACCAAGACATTTTTATGACAAAATTGAAGATATTTTATGAATACTCTTTTCTTTTTTTTAAATTAAACTTTCCGGCCAGTGTGTCATATGTTTGTTCATTAAATGATCAATCACTAACATCCTTTTTAGTTTCCGGTTGTCTTGATTCCTACAACAATAACAAAATAAGAGTAGAGAATGTGATAGTTTGGAAAAAAATTTCAAGATCCTTAACAACGATTCATTGTGTAACTATCTGAGTTGGTATTTAGCTTGAAATTCTTTGAAAAGTGTGCATATTTGATACAATATCAAATAGTGAAATGAGTGCTTCTTTCACAAATCGTTTACTGTAGATTACGAAAATATCAGAGAAATTCATACCACATGATATCTTAAGGTAAGTTAATGAGATTCCGCATCTTTAGAGCTATAAGCTGTCTTTTGATTGACTTCATTTTAGAATAAATGAATAATAAAAGCACAGTTTCGAACCTGTTTCCTTGTTAGTTGTTTAGATGGTTGTTGGCAAGAATCACTAAACGAGATAAATCTATCTAAATAATCGTCTAAGATGTTGGTTTAGAAGAAACTTGTTTGTTTGAGTAGCTTAAATACCAAATATTGAACACTAACTACATGTTTTTACAAAAAACTCATTTCCCTCTTTTCTATCATCATCTATCCCTATTTTTGCATAACAATGAAGGTTCACTTACTCGACATCTAATAAATGAAATTTAGAAACAAAGAAACATTTATGTAAATAAACTGAGTAAAAAGTACTAACAAAGAAGTTTATTAGTGAATTAAATAAACATTTAAAAGTCTAGACTTGAAGAGAGATTGATAAAGTTATGATGCATTTCCACTTAACAGAATACGCTGACTTATAAATCAGGACGGAAATTTTACCTGTTGACGCTCCAGATCATATAGAACATTTTTATTGAATCTGGATATGATATAGTTTTTAGTTTAGTGAATCTGTGAGCTGCAGTCTGAGAATAAAATGATTGATATTGATTCAGTGGGGCCTCTTCATAAACCTACCCACTTTCGCTCTGATGATTTGAGTCCATGCTATACTAACATCAGTCGATTTTATCCTAAATGACACATTTGTCACTGCTCATGATCTAACTAGCAACCCCGGAGCTTAAGGATGCGAAACGTGTAATAATGGTTTGTTCGTATGAAAAGATAGTGAAGCTGAATAACATTGAGATTAGGTACTTAGTTCAAATAAATCTATCCATCTGCTTGATTTAATGTAAGCGGCGTAGAGCTGAAAATATTGGTTCTTTTGTGGAGTTAGAAATTATAGAATGCAGAGTTGGCTATTACATCCACAGTTGTTTAAGGTAGCTGTGATATTCAGACATACACCTACCAAATATAAAGCATCCGCCTAAAATGTTGTTCAAAGCTATATCAATGTTGAAATTTAATCAAAATACGGAAATAATCCCAAATGAACCATATATGATGAAAAATGTTTTTGTTGTGGCACAAAGTAGCGTGATATGTATTATTTTGTTACATTACGACAAATGGTATCAATAGTAAGGTTGGACTTGATAGTTTCAAATAAATTGAGCACTGGGTAGAGAGTTAATAATAAATAACTGATAATTTTTCTGTCGGTTATTCATTTACTCTGAAGAAGTGGTTTACATTGAGCCATGAAACGTCAGAAACACAATTTTCCTACTCATCGGGATACAACAAAAACATCTCTATTATAATTACAAGTGGTTCAATTTTATTTATTATTCAGTGCTTAGGCTTGGTCAGTAATCTGATGATGGTTAGTTGTGATCAGTGAAAGAATTACCAAAAGAGAGTATTGGTTCACCCAGTTCATACTGAAAGTGCGTTGAAGTGTTAGTTAGTGAATCTGATATTTGGTTAGATCTTACGATGAGTAATGACCCCATAATGTTCACTAAATCCAAAGCTAAATGCTCAAACAGCAAATTAGGAGAAAGCTGCAGGTTCTGAAGACAAATAGATGTTGAGGAAAATAATGTTGAAGTAGTAAACACTTATTTCTTCAACCATAATGTACACCAGTATTTCCTACATAACGATAATGAATGATAGTAAATAGAAATATACTTTCGATCATAGGTGAATTTACCAAACTAATATCCAGAAGGGCTTGCTTTGCCAGGAATCGTTCTCGTTGAATACGTTCTTTCAAACTACTTGGAACATCTGGGATGAAGAAATCTAGAGCGTTCGCCAAAACAAATGCCACGTGCTATAAAATTAAATATGTCGTCGTTAGTGAAACCAATTATCTACTAAGATCAAAGTCAATTAAGTGAAATGTGTGTAATCGAAATAATTACTGTTAGAGAATATTATTTAGTTTCCTTGGTGATTTTCCTGATTACTTGTTGCACCAAATTAAAACAACCGACAGAATCGAGACAGCAATTGTGTTTGAGATGCATTCAAAGAACTTGAGAAGACAAAAGTCCCAATTATGTTTCATTTAACTGGACAATTTTGTAACAGAATCATTCGGGTGAAGAATATTCACTCACTGTGAACAAAACTAAATGTTAAACAAATGTGGGGATTTTCGACTAGTTTATTCATTGAACAAAACGTACTGTAATTGAGGTAGAACGTTCCCGTTTTATCTGGTTGTTACGTTCTTACATAGTTGAGCGATTGCTCAGTTCTTTTTGATTCGTGGAACCAAAATAATTCAATATTAAAAGAAATAGTGCTGTGTTTTGTTTAATAAAAAACCTCTTAATATTCTCGGGAAGAAAATTTGGAATTGCACAAAACCAACCATAATTATATCATATCCGGATCACAGCAACTATCCTACAACCAATTTCGATTATGGTTAATTTTGGTTAAGGCCGTTTATTAACTTATTTAACAGACAATGTTATTTGAACAGTAACAATTCACATATTTCTTTGTTCTGTTAGGATCACTAGATCATCACATGACAGACACTTGCTAGAATGTTGATCGCTTAAATATCACTCGATGATTCATCCTGCTCCCCATGTATATATATGCTCAAATCCTATTGTTGAACTTTGCCTTGACTTGCTGTGCCCTAATATGATCTGACTGTAAATGGATTTGCCTATGAATTGGCTCGTACATGCATATTGGCCTCCATGCTTCGAATTCGCTGAATGTGCTTATAGCAATGTGATCTTCTTCCCTGTCGGCTGAAAAAACTGTAGTTGCCGCTTGTTATTGCCTTCTGATTTGAAACCCCGTTGAAATTTATGTAATAACGGTTTCAAGGGTGTTGAGTAACGAAGCAAAGCTACTACATGTTTAGCAATAGGGAATACTATGACTCAGATGAGGTCACTGTGTTTATCTATATTGTAAGTAGCTGTTATTGTTTTATGCAAAGTGTCTTGTAACAAGTACTGTAATCAGAAATTAAAAACACTACATACAATTCACTAGTGCACATGAATAAGAATATGAAAACTGGAAATTGTGTTATGTCACGTAAGCAAATTCGCCCTTCCTATTATACCCATCTATCAAATGAACAGACTAATTTGGCAAACTGCTTAACAAAAATCCATTTATCGTGCTGCAATATTGTATTAAAAATTTGATGCTTATGTGAAATAGACTATGGGTTTCTAAGACAATATTTTAGTAGTTCATATACACATGTTGATCAAGTTACCTCGAAAACGATTACGAACGCTAGACGGAGAGCCAAAAGTCTCCAGAAAAACATCGAATATTCACCATTATTATCCCGAAAAGCTTTATACCTGTAAAGTATGGAAAACCAACTTATGCAATTAGTGGATGCCTTTACATAAATTGTTTTATCCATCAAACCAAATGGTGCTTTTACAGTAAATTTGTGTTTTTTAAAAGGGAAGTTGAATTCTACATATAAAATCACTATATATTATGATTTACTATTTCGAGTGGAATTCCTGGAAGGAATTTATATGACAGTTGTACTGATTTCCACCTATGAGAATACCACTTAACTGATTTATTACATTGGAAAATATCATTTATTTTGAATATCGTTGATCTATGTATACACTAGTTTAGATGTGACTGTTCTTCATATATAGTGTATCAATCTATGAAAACATGATTTCTGAGAACTCCGTTAAATAGTTCCATAATTGACTCGAAAGAAGTTTTTGTGAGCAGAAACTGCTAGCTTTAGAGAATCTTAACTAGAAGGTATTAGTTGTTGATCAACGAGTGTAGTAATTTAAACTGAAAAATCTTATGCGAATTCAAGGAACATAATGAAGAAACGAGTTATTGATTCGAATTTCCATAATTTTCTGTTTAAGGTACTATTAAACTAAATTAGAATAAGTATGAACATTAATACTAATGTTCATATTGTTCTTTCCGTTTTATCATCCCCATTGCGACTACAAATATCAAATTCGCTCTAGCAGTTTTTCCAGGAAGATGTTTTTATAGAATAAACCTTACCTGAGGTGGGATGTCAAAATGATCTTAAACAGTGTTTTGTGCTTCAAATATGATAAATACTTTACCTTTTTCCATTTTCCAAGTCTCATCATGATGATATACACAACACTTTCTATGAGACGCATGTCTTCATTTTGTAACACTAACCAGACGTATGTGTTTCACATTTCTCAAGATATATGTGTCATAATGTTGGGAAATTGGTATTATTTATACTTGGAGCTTCAAGTGTTTTATTTTCTTTATCTTTAGAAATTCTTAAAATAATAAATAAACCCGTCTAGTTGAATGTACTTCATTATTTTGACAGTTTCTTCCGTTACTTACATTAAATCCCTCTAAAGTTTGAAGAGACAAACAACTGTTTCTTGATTCAATGTTATTCTACCATCTTTGTTTCCTTGTTGTTTCGTAGACTAGAATTGATATATATATATACCTGCTTTAATGCAAACTAAGTTTTTTTCAATGCTCATTTTCTCTGCAAAGCTTTTTTCTATCATTGTATAATATCTAAACTCATGGTTTTTAATTCCTCAAGTCAATTATTTATTTCAACTTTCAGTGATTATCATCGTGATCGTTACTATTACAAAGCAGATATCTAAATACTGATGTTAAAGGCCCCTAATATCAGCTGTTCATTTCACTTAAGACGTATATCTATCTAATATATTTAAAAAATTTGTATATTTCTCTCTATAGACCGATGATATACCATAATCTAAGAGAAAACTGTAACACTGATGGTCTAATTTAGTTCATTTTATTTCGTTATAAGTATAATCATAAGAACAACTAACTAACTAACTATCTCGTAAATATCATCAATCAAAAAAAGAAACGTATATATGTGAACACTTATTTTGAAAAGGCTCAAAAATAACAGGATCCACTACGAAGACTGTATACAAGGACAGGTTATTACAAATGTTAGCTGTTTACTGACAAGATATTTTTGTGACTAAACTAATTATTTGATTGAGGTGTAGTAGTAGAAATAAAATAATATTTTGACAGTCTAATTCACAACTTGAGATTGACTCATGAATTCAACAGTTAAACTACTACAATCTCCACTAATCTTTATACTGAAAACAATATTTGCTTTAAAAATACAGCTTAACAAGTTTTACATAGTGATATCTATAATGTTATTATATTTACAAATACATGTTATGAAATATAAAATAATAACGTCTACGTCATCATTGATCTTGTTAGCATCGTTTTTTGATTATTATGTAATAAATGTGATAAATACACAAAAGTTATGTTGTTTGAGAAAAATTGGTTAATAGTCAATTATTTTGGACGTGATTTGTTTAACATTATTTATATGATGAACTTTAAAATGAATGAATTTTACAATCGAAGAGTAGATTTCGTGTATACTTTGATTGTGGTCGTTTAACCTTTCCTCAAGGTATTGAGATATGATTTTCAATTATAGCAACGTTTCATTTAGACAAATGAGAAAATATCATTGTTCAACTAAATAGTGATGAAATTATTTTGAATTTCTTTCAGCATTAGGTAAAAATAACAGAATGACATAAGTTTCATTAAATTTTTTTATTGAAAATTTACTGTCATTCAGCTGAAGTAACTCATTGACCAATCAATCTATTTATTAATCGGTAATATTATATATCATGATGAAGCTGCTGAGTTTGAGTGTATATCACTTTAACTCTGATTTCATTATACTCAATAGCTACCAGGTATAGCAGGAGTCAGGAGTAGGCACTTTTGTAATTTAATCATTATTTTCTGAATATTAAGTATCAGTGTCAAGGTTGGACTTGATAGTTTAAAATAAATTGAGCATTGGGTAGAAAATTCGTAATAAATATAATTTTTGTTATATACAAATGATATATATACCAATGAATAGAAAATTGTATTTCTGATGTTTCGTAACTTAATGCAGGTCACTTCTTTACAGTAAATAAACAACCGAAATCAAAATTAACCCAAGTTTAAATAGTGCAAAGGAAACAATACAGAAAATATTTAGTACAATCAAAATCATAGTACGTTTGAAGTCTTTAATGTCAAGTTATTCTTGGTCAAAATGAATTTGTATGATTTGTCACTGTATTAATTTGTGCGTCAGAAGGTGGGTATGTAAAATGTATACAATCCTACAGGATTGTTAGGTCTTTAAAAAAGTTCCAAGTTAGATGAACAATAGCAGTACATTCTGTTTTCATTAATCACTAGACTGATGGTAAAAATACCAAAATAATTCAGAAAGATTGTCCCAACTACAAAGAGAGGAGAGTAGCCGAAGCGTTTCATATCTGCTCTCATTAGGAAATAAAGCCTGGTTTGTTTATCTAACAACTGCGTTTGATCTTATTAGTTTTCAACACAAACAATTTCAACCCCACTACTTTATACATTTTTCATACCCACAGGTTATGATTTTTATCGTACTAAAAATTTCTGCATTGATTCCTTTGCACTATTTAAACTTGGGTTAATTTTATTTCGGTTGTTTATTTGCTGTGAAGAAGTGACTTGCATTAAGTTACGAAACATCAGAAATACAATTTTCTATTCATTGGTATATATATTATTTGTATATAACAAAAAATATATTTATTATTAACTTTCTACCCAACTGTTCAAGCTTAATTATTACAGAGAGAATGACTAGAGTTTATTCGTACTCTGAGACAATTCCAGTAATCATTTTGAATGTTATAAACAAAACATCAGAAACTGTTGAATGTCAAAATCAATCGACTTGGAACTGTGTTTTCAAACTTTTGGTGTTATTTGGTTGTATATTTAGATGACAACTATAATGTGATCTTAGCTTATTGGTTTAGCGACATCGTAATAAGTACTAAATTAAGTCACGCAAATTGTAGATAATTTACCCATTGCATCCACCTTATTAAACAGATACTATTTTGACTGGGTTCTTCTAGTTATTGCATTTAGCTGGAAATCTGTCACCAGCTATAGCTGTCAATTATCAACATGTAGACAGAATATTTTGAAGACTGAATTAGGGGAGAAGGAAAACACATGAACTACTTCTTCTTGTATTGGCTTATATCCAACTTCTATAAACATATATGGATTTGATTACTTTTAGAAATAAAATTGCTTTATTTCACAACAAAGTAGTTAGTAGTAAATATCAGAAAACTCACTAACCTGCATGGTTGTGATGTAGTATTCGGAGGAGCCCACGCTAGAGTAAAATTAGTAAATCCTACTAAATCGCTTCTAACTTCATGTTTATACATGAGTTCAGGAAGAAAACTTGACCTGAATGCAATGATGAAGGCCTGCAACAATGGATTGAAAAGTACACATACAAAGTATCATTTTCTGAATGATTAACATTTACTCGAATAAGCGAATTTTATTTAATTCATCCGTGAAAAACACACGAAGGTTACAAAAATAAGATTAATTATTTTCCTCTACAGATTTTTGAAATGGAGTCTGTCGATCAATACAGGTGCAGATGTCTAAGAGGCAATTGTTAGTTGGAATTATGTACTATATTCTGATGAGAAGCATAAAGAAATTGGACTTACGTCTACGACTCGTTACGAGGTCCTATTTACTTTGGTGTGCAAATGGAGTATGAAGTGATAATTGGAGAACAGCATTAAGACAAAATGAAATTCTAATCCACGCATACTTAGTGTTTTGTTAGCTGACAACAATCATTAATTCTATTTCAGTCGGTACATATTGTGGTAGATTATCGTATGGATATTAGCTTCACTATAACCTATATTCCCATAATAGCACTTTTATGACACGATTTTGATCTTTAAGATCTAAAAACTCAGGTTTCACGGCTGAGAATAGGGATGAAAGTGAATGTGTTTTTGTATTCAGCAATACTCTGCCTCAGTGTTCATTATTTAAAATGCTGCTGAAAGATTTGCTCAGTGTTATAATATTGTCGTTCATCATATGAACCAACAGTCTAATAATCTGAAAACTGGTCCTTTTACTAACCCAACCCAGTTTCTTACGCTAATTTATCTTAACTACGTAAAATCACTTTAGAAACTAATTACGGGCACCATTTGAAAACCAGATGCTTGAGTTTATTTGTTTTTGGATTTTCAGCTAAATAGTTTGATTTTAATTTTTGTATTTTTATTCGACATAACATCCATTTGTAATTCGTACCAAAGATGCTGACTGAAACGACATAGGTTGCTTTGAAACTGTTATTTTGAATATATTTTTTGTGAACATTCATTCAACTTAAACATTGTTTTATCGTAAATTAATATCAGCTGATAAAAGGCTGTAAGCAAGGCAGGAAGGCCGTTACATCCGAGATAAGAAATACCCAGAAGTAAACACATACGATCTTAGTAGTGGACAGAAAATAGGACCTTTAGTTTTCTTAGTGAGCATAGCACGATTGAACTCCCAAGTCGGAATTTAGTCGCTTACTTGTGATATATCGAGTCGACAATAAGCATACAATTATTAGTTATGTTTCTCCGCAATTTTCGTTCATTATAACGATAGCTTTCGCCACGAATAGACATTATCCGAACTGAGAATTGTGAAATAATATATTTGAACGTTTCGTTTTCGTAAACTGATTTTCAGAGTTAAAATGATATAAAACTGGCTATTTTTCATACATTTAAACAGATGTAATATGTAACTTATGTGTTAGTAAATCGTCTGACAGGTTTTTTACTACTGATTAATGTTTCAACAATATTTTATGCATTAAAGTTTGATAAGAAAATTATCCATCCGAATCGAAATCATGAAATATCCAGTACCTGGAAAGTGTAAAAGTGAATGTATTCATTGCTCTTTCACCACACTATATAAAGAAATAACAAACTGGTTGAAAGCATATTGTTAGAATGAATAAATTGAAAGCTATCTATGCATCTTAATCATATATCTTCATTGTTTCAATGGATTAGATTTTATGTAGAATGAATTGTTGATGGTTTATCAAAAATAATTGTAAGGTCATATATTTAAAACATATTATGAACTGTATTTAAAGTTAACTTCTATAGAATACAACTAGCAACACATTGAGTTTCTTTCTCAACCAGGGAATGCTGACAGAATTGATCAATTGGAAATTTAAATAGGCTAAGAAATAATTTAATAAATTTGTAATTTAAGGGCTACTTAGGAGTTTACGAAAAGAAACTCTATTACTTAGGAAGTTAATTATAGAACAAAATCACATGAAAGTTTTTTTAAAACCTTACCGTAGAATGTATAGAGTATTAGACTAAGATTTTAGCTTACTAGGCAATTATTTCAATCAAATCATACATACATGGAACTCTTTCAAAATATCACTTTGTGATAAAAAAAACTTTTATAAGAGAAATTCAGTAGGTAACAAGTATTTTTTTTAAAAATCTCAGTGTACAAGTTTCACCTTATTATTTCAGCCTAGTTACATACGTCAACGCTACATTATAAATGTTAGATATTATTATCACCTGCCAATTAAAAACGTGTTGATTTCATACATGAATCAAATGACACGTTAAATAATGATAAAAGAATTAAAAATAGAAAAAATCTGTCTATGAGATATCACATTGTTAATAGTGATACGAATTTTACGAAAGAAACACAAAGCATGTACATGACAATAAGAATAGATATAAAACATTTAAAATTTGTTCAACCAATTTGCAGTTACAGTTCAGTCTGACTAATGAAATTGGTTATCATTCGTATATTTAAAAAAACAAAGTAATTTTACTTACATTTGAAATTACAGCCAATCGAACAAGAAACTCTAATATTCTAAACCAAACGCCTATATTTTGTGCTCGTTCCGCCAATGGTCTACGTGTTTCACATACTAATTTTTTGGCATCTAAACGAATTTCAATCCAATTGTTAAGTAACGCAAAGAATGGGGCTAGTGGAAAGGCAGCCACAAAGATTGTAATGAACCCGAATTGAAGAACTATAATAAAGTTCAATAGAATTTAGGTTATAGTTTTTGTTATGTATAGTATTATTTTTAGTATTCAAAATATTAATGAATTCAATTTCGTCTAACCAAGTAACCTATTCCTAATCTACTGATTAACTAGGATTTCTACAAAATGTCCAATGTGATTCATCGGTATTAATTAATTTAATGATATCCATTTATTTTACTGCTTTACAGAACATAACTCCAACGAAGTATTTAAATGTGCTGACTCACTTTTTTAGAACCGATGCTATTACTCTACTGGGTAATAAGAATAAGCAGAAATAATTTGTGTGAAACTGTAGATTTAAGTAGTCTACACAATATATAATCAATTTTGTTAATTTTACTTATAATTAATTACATTTCATAGGCATATTGGAAACATTATTTTGGAGGAAATGTATTGTTAGGAAATATTGAATGACACTTGGATTTTATACCAATTTGTTGAAATCACTCACTGATTTATGTTAGATAATCACTGAGAAACTGAAAGGACTGGATAGAAAATTCATTCAAATAAGGTGGTCCCGAGTAGTATGTATCCATGATTCTTACAATTCCTACAACTGAAGAACATATAGAACTCAAAATACTATCAACCGATATCGAAGTCAGAATCCTCAATACAAACGTCAGGACAGTTCTGTTGAGCTGAAACATAGAGAACTACTACAACCATCATCAAAAATGTACAAATATTTATAAATATCTGTCGACAAATGACACTCCATATCTGTTGACTAGACGCTATCAACAACAACCTGCTGTGGCAGAGAACAAATTAGACATACAGGAAATTAAGAAAAGACGCTGAAGGTGGATAGGACACACATTGTGGAAGTCATCAAACTGAGTCACGAAGCAAATATTAACTAGTAATCCTGAAGGCTAAAGCAAAAGATGAGGATAAAAGAATACATTGCACCAGGAATAGGAGCAGACATAAAAAGAATAAATAGCACTTCTTTACAACTGGAAAGGTGAGCCTAGAACAGAGTTAGTTGTAAAATCCTGGCCAGCGGCCTATACTCCGTCCAGTAAAGGTAACGGGCGTTAGTAAGCAAGTAGTAAATATGTATATATGTAATGAGAATAAGTTTATTGGATGAAAACGTCAATGAAAGCTGCTACCTTTTTGAGTAGTTGAACAATAATTATACCATAGCTTATTTCAAGAAATCCCAGTATGACACATCAAGAAAGAGCTCAAGTATTGTGCAAATTTCGTTGAAACGTTCACTCTCTATGTACTAGATCATTGCAAACATAACCAAAATATTGATACCCTGCTACAGTTTTTTACTGCATTCTTTATAAAAGTGAGATGATCACCCTTAAATTAAAATCATTCTCGACTGCAATTTCAACTGAACTGCATTTTTCAAAATACTATTCTGGTGTATTTATTTATAGATTACAGGACTCTTACCTCCCTGTCATCATATGTATGACTTCATATGTGCGCTGAATAGGTTTTAAGCACTGGGGTGCCGGAGTTTATCTGTTTTAAATCCTAATGCGAACATAGTGGATGTATTTAGCTGTTTTAACGCTTGGAGTTTCCTCGTCTTTACAAATGGGACGTTAATTTGCCTTAGACGAATATCTACACTAGATTCCTTCCCAGAGTCTATCCTACGGGACTTCAACACAACTCAGATCAAGAACACGTGATTAACCTGACTAGAATGTAAATATATCTCCACATCAAAAGCCTGCGACAAGTCGACACAATCTAGCAACAATCAACAATAATAATAAGGATAGCAGAATATGTAACTTATCTAACGCCTGTTAGACTATCTACAATTTTGACTAAGCAAACAACCAATCATTATCATTTTCGTCCACACATCATTAGCTAAGAATAGTATTTTGTTCATCAGCTAGCTGAATTTATTTATTTAAAATAGTTCAGGGAAAATATAATATCCAGTTACTTAATTGTGTTCTTTGATCACTCTAAATTACCACCGTAAACTGTTTCGGTAGCTTTCACCTAACTTTCAAAATAAAATATCTGTTACTATGATTTTCACCCTAAGTTTCCAAATATATATGAATCGCTCTTACGTTCACACTTAAATTCATTAATCGACCGTTAGGAAATAATAGACTTTGGATTTTGTATTTATTTGCTCATATTAATAAAGATTGTTTTTGACACTGATGAAATATATTTTTCCCCCAGATATGAACTATTTTCCCTAGTTGTCATCGTAGTTGAAATTGTTAAAACTAGGTCAGTAAGTATGAGATAGCTGAAATTATTTGGCTTATCTGTCCAATTAGAAATGTATGAAACTCACCAGTTGATTTGTCATAACAATAAGTATATAAAGAATTATTATGATGATGAAGTGAAAACAAAAATTTATCAGACAACATCAGAAAGCGGAATAAGACGATAAAAGTGTATTCTGTTAAAGGGAGTAAATATATTAAATATTTGAAACAATACTTATAATTTTAGTATACTTGAATTATGGATACCATTTGAATTCACAATGTGGGTTTTATTCAAATAGTAGCAATAATTATTTAAGAAATTACAGTGGTGTGTAGAAAGACTTACCCATTTCAAGATATTCATCAAATAGTCCTTCATATGGGATTAATTTATAGTCTTCAATAAATATATGCGCTGAGCTCAGATCACTAGTTGAAGCAACATTCCTCTTATTTAGTCCCTTTCGATATTTATGGAACCAAGCACGTAGTTTACTGTGTAATAATTCAAAGATGAATCAGCGAAATTTAGTTTGTTTTTTTAGTTTTTCAAATCATTATTTCTAAACATTTTTAATAAATTAGATAAAAAGGAACTTAAACAAAAAAGTACCTGGACTGGGGAGTACACGTATTTCCTTAGCTCTGTACCGCTACAGTACAAACGAAACCTGATCAAAACCCTTAGTTACCAAATACGCACTATGTGTTCTGCGGATATAGTTGAAGATGAGCTTAACACCTTGCATAATACTCTTAGGGAGAACAGTTACCCTAGAACGTTTATAATTAAATAAATGACCACGAAGGTGAAAATAGGCGAAATACAAACGGTGAAGAAAACATCTCCGTTCGTGTACCTACAATTCAGAGAGGATGCAGCTAGTGAAATATTAACTCAGAGATTACACAGGACAATACAAAAATCTTTTAACGCTGGAGAACTGCGATTAGTGTTTTCTACGAGCTCAATGGTGACACCTTGGCTAAAAGATGAACTACGTAGAATGATCACCTCATTTTGTATTTATCAGTTTAACTGCTCCTGTGGAGCAAGTTATATTGGTCGAAGTTCTAGGGATTCACATTTTCGTGCTCGTGAACACCTCCTAGTGTTTCTAAACAAAGGTTTGATGAAGAAAGTGAACAGGTCGATATTGGACCATTCAGTACAAATTGGTCATAGTCCCAGTATAAACCAATGTTTTTCAATTATTTATGGGGTCAGTAATTTTTTGCCAAAACTTATCCTTCAAACGGCTGAAGGAGTAGCCATCCGGATGAAGAAACTGGAATTATGTGTACAGAATAACTATCTTCAACCACTCCACCTCCCCTGGCCAACCTCAAGGCCAATTAATCAGTAGTAATCTTAGCTATTGAATGACCTAATTTAACTTTTGTACTTACGACTTTTCGTAGTCAAATGCAATTGTCTCTGTTATCTTTATTCACAAATCTTTGTATTATTATTATTATTATCATTATTATTATTATTATTGGTTAAACATCATTATTAATCTCCCCTATAAAGTGGTTCATTCACTCCGCATTCATCCCTCCTTAATACGTCTTACTAATTTTTCACACAGAATAGCCTTCCACTAAATATTTGACCGAATTGTAATTGCACTATTATTTCGCTCACCCTATCTAACTCATATTTATTCTGATCATGGATCTTAAATTTCCACTTGACATATGCACAGATTCAAGTTAACATTCTATATGAGTCATCTCAACATGTTTTGTTTAACAATCTTAAATTGACATGCTTTAAACGATGTGCTTTGCCCCTAACTTGACCATTTATCGGATTATTAATTTGTATATATAATTGTAGAACCTGAAGAGAATTTATCGAAAAGAATATTCTTCGTTTAAATATTAGTCTGTTAATATGATGGAGATCTTTAAACAATCAGATAAATGATAAATAGTGGTTCATAGTGGTTCCAGATCTAACCATTTATCCTAAATTTTCATTTACTTATTTTTCTTGTAAATTGTTTAGTTTTTTCAGTAGAAGCTTACGGATAATAAAGCCGTTGAAATTTGTGAATTTACATTTTAAAATTACGTTGAACTAGGTTTATAAGGTTTAGTAGTTAAAAGTTAAGTGATCACAATTATTTCTACATTTGTGTTATAGTGAGAATTTTCATCCCAGTAAATGAGAAACAGTTTGGATATACTTTGGAAATCATATTTTTTTCGCAAATAACAAACTATTCTCATCATTACTGTAGTCTATAACTTAATCCTTCAAATCTGATTAATTTCTAAGATGATATCATTATATAAAACTAAACCATAGACAATGCTTTCTATTAATAAACAAGCGTTTTACTTATAGATGGAAAAATTACAGCTATTTCGATATGTTTATTCATGTCTCCTCCTTTCAATAAACTTAACTTTAATTGTAAAACTTTAGCAGTATTCACATCAGTAATTCAACATGATGTGTAGAAAAGTATTGCTAGATCTATCAGTGTTAAATTTTGATCCATTGTTCAGTATCATTTATTACGATTATCAGCCTTATTGTATGATATTGCGAAAGGTTCATTTCATTGGTTGACTTAACTATAAATTACATTTTACCTGAAACTAATCTATAAATTTTATGGCTAGTATCCCTTTGGGCTTCAGTTTAAAACTATAAATCTGAGTTCATCAACAAAATGATGATTTCATCATTGTATAATAACTTACGTAATTGAAAAAGTAGTCATCTAGACCGAGAATTACTGTCAAAAAATGTTTCAAAATATTGTGTACTCACGGAAGCAAAATTTCTTGACAATTACTAATGATTTGTTTCCCAACCATTATAACAAGTAATTGTTGGGCTAATTCAATCAAACAACCACCGTTATCGCATGCTTCGTTACGTAGGCCGAAAAAGGATGTGTAATGACCAGGATAACCAACCATTCTAGATTTAAAAATATGAATAATTTGATAAACCTTAAAAATACATCAAACTTCATTACTATGATGTAATACTAGATTTACGATCAAATAACAATTTTTCCTAAAGAAAGCAATACTGGTCTTAGAGAGAATATGATAACCATTTACAAGGAAAGTTAAAATTGACCGTATGGTTTAGGATTTTAGCTAGACTTTATCACCTACAAGGATTATGAAACAATAAGTACAAAAGGTGGATAGTAGCTAGCAGTGGAATCCACGACACGAGTTTCGTCCCATTCGGGACTCGTCAGCTAGATGTACCTGCACCTCGGAGTTGATGTTCACTCTGGGACTCAAACCCAGTACCGTTCACTTCAAATGCCATCGCATTATACACTCAGCTACTGAGTTCCGATAGCCACTTGCTTGTGCAATGGAATGAATTTAAATTCACTTGGTATTGTGTTTCCTGAATCTTCCCACTGAGGCTTAAGACTGCAATTGATCAGTCTGTCATTGGTATATGTGTATGCTGTGCACAAGCAATTGGCTATGAGGACTCAGTAGCTGAGTGGATAATGCGGTGGCGTTCGAAGCGGATGGTACTGGGTTTGAGTCCCAGAGTGAACATCAACTCCGAGATGCAGGTACATCCAGCTGACGAGTCCCGAATGGGACAAAACTCGTGTCGTGGATTCCGCTGCTAGCCACTGTCCATCTTTGCTTATAAAAGTCTGTGAATTAAGGTAATATCGAGGCATACGCACAGTATGCATATATGTCAATAACAGACTGATCAATTGCAGTCTTAAACCTCAACGGGAAGATTCAAGTAAAACAATATCAAGTGAATAAGTATAAAATAAATACAACGTAAATGAAAAGAACAGTTTAAAAATCTCCATAGAATGTTCAAAACTAAAGAATATTTGAATGAAGTGTGGTGTGTACTACTGATGTCGACAGATATAAGTAGTGTGTATCATCAATCGAAAGTGCAATGTCTGGCGGCAGAAGGTTAAGAAGATCAAAGAAGAGATAACAAGAACAGAGAGTGTTTGACATGGAAACGAAGAAACAGTTAGATCTGAGACAATTGATTGAAATTTTGCAGATGAAGTATTTAGTATATGGTTCTCATATTTTACTAAGAGATTCTGTAATTTTGCGATCAAATATATTTGGTTGTTCCCACTTATGTTTTCAGTGACGACATAAACTATTGATTTTAAGAAATCGATCAGCAGCCCATTATTATTGTAATAAATAAGACGTGGCAATGTAACGTTTTAAAAATAGTGAACTTTTGCATCTGTTACGACATAAATAATTCAGAACAATTAATGATAGTGTCACGTTATTGACAATATAATAGTAATACAATAAATCGTGTGAATAAATTGTCCGCTCAAATATTCTTTGTTTTTGAATTGAATAGGGTTTTAAAAGTGAGCTGACGTCTGAATGAGATCTTTTTACTATAAGTTCTAATTCATTGTAATGGCTTAGCTTCGTTAATCAATCAACTTGATAACCGTTATTATATAAATCCCACGGTGTTTGAAATCAGAAGGCAATAAGAAGCGGCGACTACAGTTTATTTGCGGATAGCACAGATAACAAAGCTACAAGCACATCATGGTGAAATCGAATAAGGCACATCTAGGCAAGGTAAAGGCTAATAATAGGATTCGATTACATATATACATGCGGAGGAGAACGATTCATCCGGCGATATTTAAGCTATCAACATTTAACCTAGAGAGAGATATGTACGTAGACTGTCATCTGATCAACAGTACACGTTTATACAGACAAGATAGAGATGATAATAGTACAGAGAAATAGACGAATTGTTACTGTTCGAATAACATAGTCTGTTAAGTAAGTTAATAAAAGGGCTTAACCCAAATTAACCATAATCGGGATTGATTGTAGGAGAGTTGCTGCACATCTGTACATATGTAAATATATTTTAATATCAATATGCAATTGAAACCTGTACATGTGGAAACATCGATAGTGTATTGTGTGATTGACTATAGTAATTGTCGTCGGTACTCGTCCGACGGATGAGATTGATATTGACGGTGAGTGAGTGTGCATGATATTGGGTCGAGAGAGATGTTTGTTGGTTTTATTAGTATATTGTGTGTTATAATGTGATTGATTGTGGAGAAGTGAAGGGGGCACCCGGGTTCGAACCGAGGACCTCTCGATCTACAGTCGAATGCTCTACCACTGAGCTATATCCCCGATTTCACGACGGTCACAACTTCACTACCCGAACACAACACAACACCACACCACGTTCAACTATAAACACTACAATCAACGCACAACACCACCATCACCACAATCCCAACAAACAGCCACATACAAACACTCACACGCATGCTTCGCCTGCACATGCAAACAATCTACCACGAAAACACGAAACACCAACATCAACATCATCAACAACAACAACAACAGCAAAAACAAAAACATCATTAACAAGAACACGCACATTCACACTGCCAACAACCAAGTGAATGAAGGTGTCGCGATGCAAATCCATGAAGCGCATTCATACGCTCTCTGGACAAACGGAGTGCACTCATCAAAGCCGACTGAACACAAACGTCTGATAGTCGGTGTTAGAGGCATGTGATTCCGCGAAGTCGGTCGAGACCTACAACAGTGTGTGAGGTCGCGAGTCAATCACCAAACACAATATCACATGATCGTCTCATCAACACACGTTTGGGTGTGATTGCGGGTGAACGCGTTGATGAGCATTTCAATGTGTGTCTGTTCGTCGATGCCAAGTGGTACATGAGGAGGTTACAAACGAGTCGGTCGTGTATAGCATATTAGCAACAACAGCAAAGATAGCATAACCGATTTTTAGTCTTGAAATGGACATCGTTATTATTATCATCGATTCCTACCAACAAAGAATGATACAGTTCCTCTGAGGAATAATGAAATTATAATTGTGTCTTAGATTAAACGGTTCCTAAATTTTTAAATATAATCCATAGTGTAATAAATCATTATTCTTGATTAACTCACAGCATTCTATCTTGTTTTTTCGGTCTATTTTTTTAGTTTCAGATACGTTGAATATACAACTTCAAAACATTATTCTCTTTAGAGCATGTCTTTGAAAAAAAGTCAATTCAAAAATATACAACAACAACTCACTGTCCTTTGAAAAATGCTACATAGAATATGGATGAATAGAAATTCACAAATTGAAATAGAAAAACTTTAAAAATCAGCTGGTTGTCAAATTCACTTTGAGTTCGGTGCATCTCTTTAAAACAAAACAAAAATAAACGAATAAAACTGTATTTTTATTTTACTACTTAAAGTTTAAGGTTTCTAAAATAAGTTCTAAATCTTAACATGATATTAGATTTTGATGTTTCAGTTTCACTTTAATCTGATATACTATTTTGTTTCTTGAAAAGATACCTTAAAACCTGTTATTAGTCAACCTTTAAAATGTTTGTTTAGTTCGACCCTTTCCCTCTCTCTCTCTCTCTCTCTCTCTATATATATATATATATATATATATATATATATATATGATTGTTTAGAAATATAGTTTATATCTGTAAATGAGTTGTATATTTATTATTGGTTCGTTTAGTTAGTAGAATCCTGCCACTAACATTTGGTTTATTCACTCAAGTATCTGGGCGAGCGTTTTAGAAGCATCTATATCCGAATCAGGCTTAGATGACCCCACATAGTAACATAAAGTTACTCGTCATCCAGTCTCTTTTGATAGTAATTATACATTTTGAAGAAACGTAATTTCATACAATGAAGGATCACAATAGTAAAAAGAAGTGTGAGTAAATTACTCTTTACTGTTCACTGATGTATTCATCGGGTTCAACTAGAAATGTATTTTTTGTCTCATATCCAGATATGTGATCAAATTTATTCCGTTTTTAGATACTTAACAGCCAAATATGAAATTAAATTGAAATCAATTTATTCAGTCAGTCAGTCAGCTACAACGTAGGACCAGGCACATATGTGCATCGGTCCAGGTACATCAAGTCAACAAGCCAAAAGTAAAGCAGTTAGACGTATCAAGGCAAAAGAATGTGAAAGGCGTTTTAACATAACTATGACTGCATCATACATGAACCACAAATTATTCACTACATACGTTAACAACCATTAAGAAAACATAATTTAAAGCAATTAGTCCCTTTTATGAATTTCGATAGAGCAATTAGAAGACGGAAATTAATCTCTTGAACGCCTCATGATAATGATTAATCTTTTTCAGTAGCTGAATTCATGAAACGATTTAAGTAAGACCACCATTGAAAACCTGAAAGCACGCGAGACCGAAGGTCTTGGGTTCTAATCCCACGTGCGAGATCGTGGATTCTTACTGCTGAAGAGTCCCATACTAGGGCGAAACGGCCATTCAATGCTTCCAGGTTTTCAGTGGTAGTCTAGCTTACATGGACTCATGAATTCAACTATTAAATTACTAAAATCTTCACAGACCCCGTTCTAACCATAATATTTTTTGGCCAATATTTTGAATTTTATGTAGGCGAAAGATACTTTGAGAATTTACTGAATTGATTGAATTACATGCTGCATTCGTAAACATCTATTAGGATGATTAGGTAAAACCTTTCGATTAGCTTATTTCAACTATAAATCATAGAAAACATTGATTATAGTTTTACTGACCTTAATACCGGAAAAAACATATGTACATCCAAAGTTTATCACGCAGACATGGTATTTTTAAAGAAGAACACGGTCTAAAGTCATCTTGTCTTAATTTTAAGAGTCCTACTTTAAGTAATACTATAATTTATTAATAACAATAAAGATAATACACCAAACAATTTAAACATCACATATGTAAAAAATAAATGTGTATCTCACCCCATTGAGTCATTTTGTAGGCTAATGTTTCATACACTTTCCCCAAACACATAATCAAAATAAGATTTACAATAGCTGCTGAAAGTGTTGCGTATATTTCTGCATTGGAACGAAGTAGTTTATTTTGAAATAATGGAATTTTTATTAAAAACCGATAAATAATTACAGCTACTATGAATACCAATACCAACATAACCTATGAATGACAAATTAAAAAAAGAGAAACATTTAGTCCTCAAAAGAAAGGCTTAGATTTTAACATTTGAAATAATTATTAAGGTAAGCGACTAAGTTAATCTACAATTATTTGAAATATTAGTTTGGACTACTTTAGCCTTAGTAACTGTCGGAATTGCCAGGGTACTCGCATTTTAGAATAAACTCATATGTGCAAAAACCACAGTAGCTGAGTGTTTCGTAAAATATACTTTATCGTGTAGACTCCTGGTTTACGATGCTGGATATTAAGTGTTTATTTGTGCATTTTGGATATTATTCTAGTTGAGCACCAACAAAGAGTACGGGTGAACTCAAAGTTATCTAGCTGGGAAACTGTGCTTAGTGGAGTGTTCCAGGATACAGTTTTGGGGCCAGTGCTATTCCTCTTGTATATAAATGACTTTCCTCGTCTCCTATCGTCATCGGTCTTGCTATATGCTGACGATGTCAAGATATGGAGAACGATACGATGTAAGGGTGATAGCTTAGAACTCCAAAATGACATGAAGAAATTATCTGAATAGTCTCAAACATGGCAGTTGCCGATAAGTCCTTCCAAGTGTGTTGTGATGCATATCGGTCATCAAGGTACAGATACATACACGATGAATAACACTGAGCTACCTGTCGTCCAGACACATAATGACTTAGGAGTCATCGTTAGCCAATACTTAAAGACTACTGCACACCGCTGTGCAATTAACTGATTACAATGAATAGTTGTAATGTTTACCAGTTTCAGAAAGCATTGTGATCATCTATATGAAAGCAAACACATGTGTTTTTTGTGTTCTCTCCTCATTGTAAATAAATATGTTGTAATTTCTCTGCTTGAAATCATAAACGCTAGGACTAGTTGGTAAATAATTTAGATTTTGCAATAAATGCTGTAATGTTAAAAATAAAAAATACGTGACTAGAAAATCGTTTGATTAGCTTAACGTGTTTTTAAATTTTGTATTTTTAAACTTTATTTCATATTGAAACTCATTTGTAGATGGTGGTGGTCAGTGGTTTTTTCTGAAACAAATAATTCAAACAATTTAAATGTTACTAAGAACATACAAGTACATTTGATTCACCTACTTGTATAAATTTGTTTAATTTTACCGCTGTTACTAGATAGTTTCTAGAGACTTATACATAATTTAAACTTCTATATAGTTGTCATCTGTTATAAAACAGATTAATAAAACTTAGTGATATTGTGCGGTGATGAATATCTGGATCACATAACACTCATTTGTATAGATTTATGTTCATATGAATCCAGAAGGACTCAGGTTAACATTATTCAAATGGCTTTATGAACTATAAGACTGATGAGTAACAGATATTCGGAAACTATGATATTTCTGAGGAAGAATATATTTGTAAAATCTCGGCGAAAGAATTTGAAGTAAATCCAACGTTTCGCTTGGCAATCTGGTCCAAGCCTTTTCAAGGAAATACATTCTTCCTCTTCAATGTCTCACATTAACTCGGCGCCCAAATACTGTGAAACTATTCGATCAAATTTAGACGAAAATTCTTATCTATGATATCTCTTTTTTCCCAAAGATTCTATTCTCTGGGCTGGGAAAACAGATTGGTAGAATAAAATGGCTAAAAGTGTAATTTAAGTGTTTATTGGAATACGTTATTGCTCATACTTACTAACACATTCTTTATACACTATTTTAAATAAACTTATCAACCTAACCACACGTACACCCAGTTAGATTTATTTCCAAATGACATATGCAATCAAAATTCTACATTGTCGATTAGAAAAGAACAAGAAGGACCTTGTTACGTTTAGAAAGGTTGAGTGATAGGCTTTCTTTAGATCTTATTTTGTGAAGGTGAAACGGGATTTTTTAAATTAATATAAATTATTATAATTATCACTGTCTTTGCAAATGTAGTCATCATTAATAGACTACTCATAAACGTTTCAGCAGTCTAAAATACAAAACGAAATTTCCGACTAAACCAAGCTCATACGGAAATATATATTAGGTGAGTACGTCATTTAGGTTTCCATAAACTCACATTCAACGTATAAACATTGGGAATATGGGCTGATGTTAACCACAAAGTTTCCGTTTTCACTGATTGTGTTTTATTCAGCACATCATACTATTCTTCTGTTCCTTTGGTCAGTGAGTGATAAATAATGAGGTGTGATTTCCTTAAATATTTCATTTCACAGCCCCAACTTTCACCATATTTGTGTTTTTTACTCTAAATGTCGATCTCCCCCATACCGGAATTATCCATAATACACAGTATTAGATAGCTCAACCAAATATGTCTTCATTCTGATAGCAATCATGTGCTCACTGATGACTAGCATCAATATATATTTCCTGGAGTTCTAATGAGTGGAGGTGACCACTAAAGTCCAATCCGTGTCGGGTGTAAAACAGTTATCCACCTTAGACAATGGACCAAGGGTTGCGCAAGATCATAGATCTATTGAAGTTAGGCATTAATACTGTTGGATCCCAGCTCAGTGATCTAAAAGTTAAGAGTTCGCAGGCGAGACTGAAGATTTATGTTCGAGTCACGTGTGTGAGGTCGTGGATGTGCACTGCTGAGGAGTTCCATACTAGGACAAAACGAACGTTTAGTGCTTTTAGGTTTTCACTGGTGGTCTAGCTTACATCGACTCATGGATTCAACTGTTTAATTTATGATTTTATTTTTTCGGACAGAGGCGCGAACAATGGTCATAAAACGTTTAATGAATATAATGTAGTAGAAACCAACTATATCACCTTTAAATTAATTATTGTTTGTGAAAATACACTTGTCCAACCCCTGTCTACATTGTTTATAGGACTCATGGAAGTATTTATTAGTCAAGCTCTTTGGGTGATCCATCGTTTTTACAAAATCCCAGATGGCCGAAAGCTATCTTTTCAAGTCTAGTTCATCAGAAATCAATGGAATTTTGAGTCAGAGGTTCGAAAACACTAGAAAAGTGAAATCATTGATGCATTTATCAATACAAGGGAGGAATCATCATCATGACCTTAGATAATATTTGCGATCTTGAAAATAGATATTTTTTCTAATGAATCAACAGTGCTTAGAATGATGGGTTTCTCTCTAATTGCACAAAACTAGGGGAATAGGTTTGGAATTGTCTTATTGGTTTGTAATCAAGCACTTAGATCAGTGATGGGAGTGGTGATGCAAGCTGAGTTACATAAATGGCTTCAGTAACAAACATAATTTCACTGTTTTTCTCAATGGATCATTTTAGATTATATTGACTTAAGATGGGAAACTTCATAGAAAGAATGCAGTCAATAAACGAAAATGACAGTGGTTACTATTCAATGACCAACTAATGTAAATATCACAGACTACGGCATGGGATGATATTGGCTCGAATTCTACAGAGAAAATCAGCTCTTTCATGGTTGCAGATGCATCTTGAAGACCGATGACAACTAGTATGAAACGTAGAATTATGATTTCCTGTTGATCACCTGTTAGTTTTACACTTTTACCTAATTAATTGTTCTAGTTTTGTAAAACATTTAATAATATGTTATGAGTGAACAAAATTTTGTAGTATGGTAGGAAGAATAAAGCAAAGACTATTGACGAAGGTTTGTTATACCCCAGAAATAGATTAAAAGCATGTGTGAATGCACTTCATATAATTTATTTTATTTGGTTAATTGTGATATTTTGGATAAATTCAACTGAGTTGAGCTTAGTACACAATAATCAATAACTTATAATATAAACATTATTTGCAAATATATCAAGGTTGAAACTTTGTGATTCACATGTGGAATCGACTAATTGAGTTATTTGTTTATTCGTTGTCAACACAACCTTTTTACATTTTGAGTACATGTAAAGGAGTTTGTTGGAAATCAACATGTATAGTCGTTCTCCTTCTTCATAATAACATCACATTATTGCCTATTGTCATGTGCGTAGAAACAATCTAAAGACAGATTCATACTAACTTACTGCTATATCTTCAAATGTAATAGGTTAGATTTTATGGGAAAAAATCGAAATAGTACAACAGAACGTTACGAAGAATTAATTGTAACATATGAAGGGAACAATATCTTACCATCACCATGACACAAATCAATCCAGCAATAATACGAGCAACACGAGCACGAGGAGGAAAATATGGTTCAAGAACATCCGTAATGGGATTTTTTGCATATTGTGTACAGTGGGCAGAGTATTGTGGGCGCGGTCGTTCTTCTTCGATTTCATAATCCAGCACATCCCATCGATGAGCTAATTTAGCATTTTTACGCTTCCAATACTCTAAATATGTAACACCTACGAAAACAGAGTGATTGATATAAAGTTCAATAAATATAAAATATTAAATTAGTATTTCGTTCTTACAATTTTGTCAATAATTCACCCAAATCACATTGTTTTAAATGATGTTATCAAATGCCCATCTTAATACAACATGTGATATAACCTAACAATCTCGCGAAATCTTGACTCGTGCCAAAGAACATATTAGATACACAAAGAAACCTCCTAAGAATCCCGTAGAATTGGATAGACTTCAAATTAAACCGGCAATAGCAGTTCGCGCCATTTTCAACGATCACCAAATCGACGTCAATAATATCGAAATATTGCAAAAAGGCTTTTCCAATTACAAGGAAAGGAGAGTAGCTGAAGTGTTCCATATAATGCTTAATCTTACTGCTCTCAATAGAAAAGAAGGCCTTACCATACATCCTACTTGGACTATTTATCATAGCCACCTAGTCTTATGCTATTCACAATTCACACTATTATTTTACAAATTAAACTATCCTTTATCACCATAAAGATCACACATTTTTAATCCTTAACAGTGCACACTCACTTATACACAACTTTACATACATGTCGCTTATGAATCACCTTGACCGAAATGACATGACATTGATTTATTCAGACCTGTTTTTTGATTGATCACATAATATTCTTGTTGTTCCGTTGTACTGTTTAAACTTGGATTAATTTTGGTTTGGTCATTCATTCTCTAAAGAAGTGGCTTACACGTAGTCACGAAACGTCAGAAAACCTATTTTTTCTACTAATTACTTATTATAAATATATTATTCATTTATAACAATCAACCCAATGCTCAATTTATTTGAAATTATCAAGCCAAACCTTGATAATGATACCTACAAACTCATGTTATTATTTCACAGGTTGAAATCATGAGTCAATTGAAACTATTAAATCTTAAAAAATAATTATATATTAGGCTCTATGGTTGGCCTATGGTAACTGCTATTTATAAACGGCTGAGGATTCTTATAGCACGAGCGAGAACTAATATGACCTCGATTAGACAGGATGTCTGTCACACAACAACACTTCAACATTACTAATATATACACTAATAGGAGATAAAGAAGACGTAACTTCTCGAAGATCTTCGTTCCCGTAGATGTCTGGTTGCTTAAGAAAATCAACTTCTGCCATAAAATTAATGTCATCAAATATTACTCTGAATAAACATTTAGATCGACTACTCAGTTCACACAAAAGTCAACCGTTTTAATGATGATTGAAATTGCTTTTACTCCTTTAATCTTGTCCTGAATGTAACCTGTTAAAATTCTATCAATTTGTAGCTATTCAACTATTCGTGTGTTAGATTTTGTTATATGAGACTATGTACTCAGAGAAACCACTGTATTAGTCATAATGAAATTATTCAATTCATTTCTTTCATCAAGCCTATCAACTCATTAAATAAATGTTTACTTAGTTTCTGATCCCTAAGAATACATAAATCTTATAATCCCAGACACGAATTTTTCATTCTGTACAAGAACTCTTTCAAGATAGTGGAGAAAATTTGTAGCTCAGGTGGATAATTTTGATGGAGTTTTTTTATTTGAGCTGGATGGTTTGGCTATGGAGCTTTCATCGACAAAACCATCCAGCTCAGAGAATGAAACTCTACCAAAAAGAATTTTTTTGAAAATCTAGTTATATGTACGAAAGAATCTTGAAATTACTTAACTAGTTACAAACATTAATTCTCATTTACAATCAACAATATTATATATGAGGAAAAAAAATCCCGAGTTACGTACCCCAAATTACCATAAAAATAGCGTAGAATACAGAACCAGGATGGTCGAATAAGTAGGACATTTTCAAGTAGAAACATAACTCTCGTAAATTCCAATATCGACACCCGTGGGTGATATCACAAGTTGGACACATAACTGTGTCTCGTTCACAAGCTTCTTTCCTGTCAATAATTAAACAATTAAGGGAATGTAGGCAGGGTTTTTTTTATTTGTTGGGTGTATTAGTAATTGGTAAATGGTATTATTGGTACACTGCGAATTGCAGTGTTCATTGAAGATATGTTTAACTGTGACAAAGAAAGGTTAACTGAAATTCGACAAATATGAATATCTACTTAATTTTTAAGAGCAGATTTCAAAAAGTGATATTAGTTTACAGTTTATTTAAGAGTCAGACACGTTTGAAAAGACTAAAGTAAATAATCGGTCTGTTCTACAACGAAAATCAATTTCATTTTTATCTTTTAATGGATGATGAATGTAATTAAATAGGATATTAATTGTATGTTATCATATAGTATATTAGTTATTGGTTTCAATTTTACATCTTATCCATATAATGACTTTCATTAACCTCATTTCCGAAGGGATCAATTCAAAGCATAGGACGAACGTTCTAAGGTTTTTAATTATCAACCTTATTTAAAAATTATCATCCATTTACATAAACTCTAAACGACATTATTAAATCTTTCATTTGTCCCCTAGGGATGATCGTGAATTAATTAGACTTAATTATAAAACTTAATCGTAGTTCTAGTTATTTAATTGACTGTACTCTTAACTGAAATGTCAAGAAATTTAAACTTGCTTCAAATAATCTTACTGTCGTATTTTTCCGGAAAACCATTTCAAAACACCAATCAGTAATAATACTACTAACCATCTTCTGAAGATATAAACTTATTTTCAGAATGGGAGTTAGTAGTAATTTCAATAGTTGAATTCATTAGTCGATGTAAGCTAGACCACCAGTGAAAACCTGAAAGCACTAGACGGTTGTTTCGTCCTAGTATGGGACTCACCATCAGTGCACATATACGATCTCACACACGTGACTCGAACATAAATCTTCGGTTTCACGCACGAACTCTTAACCTCTAGATCACTGAGCTGGCATTCAACAGTATTAATGTCTAGCTTCAATCGATCCATGATCTTGCGCAATCCTTTATCCATTGACAAGTAAATTTTGCTAAAGATAGGTTATATCGTTTGACGAATCAAAGTTATACTGATGAAGTTCATCAAAATGCTATTTTCCACAAAATTCCGTAAACAGTTTAGGTTCCGAGAATGCATATTCTTTTTCTATCCCAAACTTTATATCTAACCTGTTCACTTTAATATTCTGACGTCATCAAAGTCTCTATCAGATATACCTAACCTGCAATACTTCTAAATTGTTCAACATTTATTTAATTCACCGTCAGTTGACAAATAATGAATAGTGTTTTAACACTATAAAAACATAAAAATAAAAGTATTACGAACAATCATTCATCATCTGAAATTTCTTTGTAGAGAACGTTTTCTAAATAATGTAAGAGAAGATTGCCTATTATTTAGTTGGAAATATTTTAAAATCTTGTTAAACAAATACAGTGATAAGAAGTATGAATGTAATCGTGAGATCTCTGATATACTGACTCATTGTTATTTTAGTCACTCATCATGAGTGTCATAGAGAATAGAAAACTGACCGACAACTGAAGTAGGTGTTTAAGTACTTACTTACGCTTGTTATCCTTCGTGGATTGGCATAGGCTGTCCATCAGCACTCTCCATCCAACCCTGTCCTGGGCAATCTTTTCCAGTTCTTTTCAATTGCTATTCATCTTTTTCTTGTCTGCTTCCAATTCTCAATGTAGTGTCTTCTTTATTCTTCCTCTTTTCCGTTTCTCTTCAGGATTATAGGCAAGCACTTGCCTCGTAATGTAGTTTGGTGATTTCCTCAATGTGTGTCCTATCCACTTCCGACGTCTTTTCCAAATTTCCTCCACAGCTGAAACCTGATTGTTCACTCCCACAATAGGCTGTTGCTGATGTTATCCCGTCGGCGAATATTGAGTATCTTGAATAGAAAATTGTCGTATAAATACTTGTACCTTCTTGATGATGGTTGTAGTAGTTCTCCAAGTTTTAGCTCCGTGTAGTAGAACTGTCTTGACGTTCGTACTGAAGATTCTGACTTTGATCTTGGTTGACAGCCGTATCGAGTTTCATATTATTATTATTGGCAGTGAATAGCTGATGCTGAATAATTTTAAAGTGTAAATAGCTAACCACTAACAAGTGGTTTATGCTGTTTCTATGATATTAATTTATAATGTAAAAGTATTTCTGTGGATAAACGTTGTAATAGATGACATTTATATCTAATCAATACTTACACAGGAACATAATCATTTATAGTTACAAGTCCATATATGAAAACAAAGATTCCGACCAATGCAGCTGGTAATAACCATGCAGTGTATAAACCTATGAATAAATTAATATAATGTAAATAATATTATAAAATAATTTAATGGTAAAGATACTATTTCAATCTTTGCTATTAGTGATAACATTTCCGTATAGGCACTGAGAACTAATAATTCACCTTAGAAAAACATTTTCCATTGTGTCATTGAATAAAAATGAATAGAATTCAATGAAGAAAATCTTATTTTCGATGAAATCATTTACTTAAGCTGTACATTTTGTATTTGGAGTTGTATGGTAGAAACATGTCTATAGATGAACAGAAAAGATTGCATCCTAGAGTGATTTGAGATTTCAAATATTAAATGCGGTTGCGTAATCATCATGGGGTTAGAGGAGAATACGAGGATGAAAATAATTTACTAGTCAGAATTCTGAAAGATAATTGTCCATTTGACAGATATGAAGAAAAATGAAAGAAAAACATTAAGGTTATAATAACTATTGAATAATGATCACAGAAAATTGTTAGAGGATAATAATAACTGATTACAGTTTAAAGTCACAAGACAGTAATAAAAACAAACAAGATTAAAACATACTGAAGAAGGAACTAGGGTCAATAAAGAAGGAGAGGTTGGACGTATTGTTTTTTACAGAGTTCGGGCTTGAATCAGTGGATCACCAACGCCTCAGCAGCGCATACTTTATTAATTCGGCCTGACTTTCATTCAGTTCCTTTGATTGTGTAGATTATTTTAAAGGAAGCTTCCTGTAGAGCGACGTGTCCAGAGTTCATTAGGTACTGCTGTATTGAACTAGTGATTGTTTTGGATTCTCCTTTTTAAGGCTACACCAGCTGATGTTCTGATATGCTTTTCGAATGTGGTCGCTTTATGCTGCCAATGTAACCTGTCTTACAGTAACAAGCAAGTTGATAGATACACATCGATGTGACCCAAAGCGGGGGTTCATCCTTAACATATACGTGAATGGTAGGCTGGCTTGAGAAGGCAATACGAAGCTTGGCTAAATGAAAAGTTTTATCCAGGGCTTTTGAAATCCGTTTATTCAAAATTTCAGCAGCCATATTTCCTTCAAATTCGATATTCATAAAACGAGTTTTCATTTGAACTGTTTGCGCTTTTTCCGGATGTTTTCTAGGTGTTAATTTCCTAGAGACATATCTAGGTGGATAACCATTTCTGACGATTATCTATCGAAGCTGAGGTAGTTCGTCATCTATTGTTTCACCAGAAGTCCACATAGTCTTGGTAAAGCGGAACACGATGGTCTAAGATGTTCATAAAGGTCACAATTCGTAATGGACTCATCTTTCTTAAGATCTTGGTTAACATCAGTTCTATTTTCTCAGTTGCGTCTTCTTAAATAGTTTCTTAAAGAAATTAACAGTGTCTGATAATATCCATTTGGATAATTCCCGTATCTTTATCTGAGCGACAGAGAGCTAAATCCTCATTTCTCAGAAGATCGAATAATTAAGATTTATGTTCTTTGATGATTAATCGCCCAATTGTAAGTATTGTATTCACATTACTGATTGTAAGAGTCTACAAGAGTTGTTTTGAAATGTTCATAATCTTTATTAGATATGAGGGTAAGATTACTTGTCTGATGAATGAGGCTTTCATACTAAATTTTAGCGTTGGGCTGATTAATGTTAGTTGACTTTTATATTTTTCGTTTTTCTATCAAGTGCACAATTATCTTTCAGAATTCTGACTAGTAAATTATTTTCATCCTCGTATTCTCCTCTAACCCCATGATGATTACGCAACCGCATTTAATATTTGAAATCTCGAATCACTCTAGGATGCAATCTTTTTTGTTCTTCTATAGACATATTTTTACCATACAACTACAAATACAAAATGTACAGCTTAAGTAAATGATTTTGTTGAAAATAAAATTTCTTAGATTTTTTGTTAGATATCAGATATTGTCAACAATTTATTACAATCAGACGATGACTATATGTACACCTAACTATCTTTCCAACGTGTATTTCAGTTAGCAATTGGGAAATTTCATATTCAATCACAAACTGATATCATTCACAATTAATATCGAGCTTTTATAATTCAATGACATAAGAAGTTAAAAGGTGTTATATCATTGGTACTCTTAATATTGTATATTTTTGTTCTTTTTAGATACACTAAGGTTCATTTTTATACTATAAGTACTGAGCTATCAGTATGATAGTAAAGCTTACTTTGCATCATTTTTTGATATAATGATAAAATACTTAACGGAAGTCAGAAATTCACTTGGTATTGTTTGGCTTGTATCTTCCCATTGAGGTTTAAGACTGCAAATTAAGACTGCAGTCTGTTATTGGCATATGTGCATACAATAACAAGTGAATTTAAATTCACCCCATTGCACAAGTAAGTGGCTATCAGGACTCAGTAGTTGAGTGGATAACGCTATGGCGTTTGAAGCGAGTGATACTTGGTTCGAGTCCCAGAGTGATCATTAACACTGAGATGCATGTACAACCAGCTGACGAGTCCCAGATAGGAAGAAACGCGCATCCTGGATTTCACTGCTAGCCACTATACATCATTGCTTACAAGAAGTCAGAAATCTTTGCATCTTTACATTACTTTATATAATTGTTAACGGTAATTTCTGATATCTTCATAATGAAATGATATCCAATATATTTTTGTAAGTAAATTATATAAATTATTTAAACATTCATTCTTTTTTAAAAAGTGAGTTTTGAAGTTTGTGACTTCGTTGGAGGAATTTTCAAAATAATAAATAAATCGTACTGTTTTCGGATCTGGTACTGATACACATTTTTTTCATAAGCGTGACAAATCTAGTTGACTGAATGTGAAGACAGAGTGAAAAAAGACTTATTTACTAAATCACTCTAGATATAAGCAGTCTTTATTATTCAGTCAGTATTTCAATAAATGCTGTGAACTGCAATGTAACTGTCATTGAAATTCAACTAAAGATTTGATTCTTCATCATTATCTTATTTTTATGTTAGTGATTATTTTATCTGCTGAAGTGAATAAGTATTTACTCAATGATCCCAAAATCACTATTTTATCTTTCTTCATTCCAGTTTAGAGTTTTTCACTTTACATCTTTGCTTAAATAGCTATGGATTTTCCAATTATAATGTACGTTAATCATTAACTGTTTGGTGAGAGAAGTTGATATACAATGAATAATATATGTTTAATTCATGAAAATAAACTTACCAAGCCAAGCGAAATAAAAACCAATTTTTTCTCCAAAATAATATCTGATATGATCCAGAGGTTGATATCTATACCAACAACCCCATCTTGCCCAATACCAATATAAAATTTGACGTGGATTCATTTTTTCTGGATTTTTTAAATCCTCTTCATCTACTTCATATGGACCCTATAATTAATCAAGAGATATATTACCCTTTGCTAGAACTAATGTTCATATTAAACTTTATTTAAATAAGAAATTATATCTACCACAAATTGAATTTCGTAAAAATTAAGTAATATTGTTTAAAATAGCTAAAATGTGAGCGTCCGATTCATTCAACTAGTCAGTTTGGTGATGAATTTTATCAACTACTTTTTCCTATTCAGTTTTTATCTCCTGTAATATCGGACCAGAAGTGTTTCTAAATATCGAAATTTTCTTCATTATCTGTACAAGATGTTATTCGGTCGATTTTTTAAAAACGAACATACCTTTTATTTTTATCAGATTTAATGCATCAATATAGATAAATATTTCTGAAGCTACATAAGTGTTCAACATCACTATAGGCAGAAATAAGTAAGGATTACTTTTAAGTAATATCAGAAGGGGTTTTGTCACAATTGATTGATCACTGGGTGGCGATCAATTTCATGCGTGTCTAGTCCCTATTAATGCAGATCGAATGCTTTCGACCAGGGAGCACCAATTCCCTCAAGATTACAGGTACACCTTACTGACGAGTGCCAAGTAGTTCGAAACCCGGATCCAGGGTTTCCTGCCGACCACCTCTAACCACAATCTAATATCGAAGGGGTTTTGTGGATATTGTAGCAATTCCAATGGTTGAGACCATGAGTCAACTGAACCTAGATCACCATGGAAAACCTGTAAGTTAAAAAAATGTTTCCCGTAATATTTTGTTTAGTTATGGTACTATGGATAAATTAGGGACCTAAAGAGGGTATAATATGGTAACTTTATTTAACTAAATAAAAATATCACCATCATATACGCTTTTATACAACAAATAATTGAACATGTGATAACACAAAAATGTGCATGATAAACACGTGATTGCATGTTACATGAGTTCTTTTGAGAAAATAGGTAGTTACTATATATATAATATTATTATTATTATGAACCAAGAAGAATTGTAATGGTAATATGAATAACTGTATGGGTGTTTACATTTGGACCGATTACCTCATGAATCGCGTACGCAGCGTTGTAAACCTCTTCTTGTATAAGGCGATCGATTCCAACTTGTGCCTTTTCACGGCTCCCATATGCTTGAGTAGCTAAAATATCATATGCTACCTGATGTCTTTGAGTAGGGGTGAAATATGATTCTTGATTATCATGTCCAATGAATCTGAAACAGTATTGTAACACATATATGAGCGACAGACCTTATTTTAAATAAATTTTACCGACCTGTTATAAAAGAACCCCGTCCGGATAAAGAAGGAGGTTTGGGCGTGTGGTTAGCGACACCATCCCGTAGAATACTAACTCGCTAAAAAACGCTAACCAGAAAAAATTATTCAAACCATTTGAACTCTGCCCTGGGAGTCAGAAGGTCTTCATTTAGAAGAATTATGACGCCTCATGATGAAAGCCGAATTCCTTCGGAAGTTACGAGGCCGATGCCCCTTCTGACAACCAGAGCGACCATTTATTTAGGTACATGGAATGTTCGTACAATATGGGAGACCGGGAGAGTCTTCCAAATTGCTGCAGAAATGAGAAGATACAACCTAGAGATGCTGGGGATCAGTGAAACACATTGAACGCAGGTTGGACAACAACGACTAACTTCAGGAGAGCTCCTGTTATACTCCGGCCATGAAGAAGAAAATGCACCACATATACAAGGAGTTGCATTGATGCTGTCCAAACAAGCGCGAAATGCGCTTATAGGATGGGAATCTCATGGACCAAGGATCATCAAAGCCTCGTTCAAAACAAAGAAAGAGGGCATTTCAATGAACATCATCCAATGCTATGCGCCTACCAACGACTACAATGAAGACGCTAAAGATCAATTCTACAATAGGCTGCAGTCAATCGTCGAGAAGTGCCCAACAAAGGACCTGACCATTCTGATGGGAGATTTCAACGCCAAGGTTGGAACGGACAACACTGGATATGAAGACATCATGGGACGACAAGGACTGGGAGAAAGAAACGAAAACGGTGAGAGATTTGCAAATCTATGTGCCTTCAATAAACTGGTCATAGGCGACATTATATTCCTACATAAACGCATTCAAAAAACCACATGAACTTCGCCGGATCACATTACACAAAACCAAATCGACCATGTCTACATCAATAAAAAGTTCAGGAAGACAATAGAGCATATGAGAACCAGGAGAGGTGCTGAAATCGCATCAGATCATCACTTGCTGGTCGCCAAGATGAAATTGAAACTCAAGAAACACTGGACAACGGGGCGGACAATATCACAAAAGTTCAATACGGCCTTTCTTCAGGATGCTGACAAGCTCAACAAATTCAAGATAGTCTTCAGCAATAAGTTCCAGGCTTTTCATGATCTACTCAATGGAGAGGAAACCACTATAGAGAGCAACTGGAAAGGGATAAAAGAGGCAATCGGAAAAGCAAGAGCAGTATATTTACAACTGAAGAACATCTGGAACTCAGAAAAACTGTCAACCAACACCAAGTTCAGAATTTTCAATACAAATTTCAAGACAGTTCTACTGTATGGGGCAGAAACCTGGAGAACTACGAAATCCATCACCCAGAAAATACAGGTGTTTATTAACAGTTGTCTACGCAAAATACTTCGGATCTGTTGGCCAGACACTATTAGCGACAACCGACTGTGGGAGAAAACAAACCAGATCCCAGAGGAGGAGGAAATCAGGAAGAAGCGTGGAAGTGGATAGGGCACACATTGAGGAAAGCACCCAACTACGTCACAAGACAAGCCCTCACATGGAATCCTCAAGGCCAGAGGGAAAGAGGAAGATCAAAGACACATTACGTCGAGAAATGGAGACAGGCATGAAAAGAATGAACAAAAATTGGATAGAACTGGAAAGCAAGGCCTAGGACAAAGTGGGTATGAGAATGCTGGTCGGCGGCCTATGCTCTATTGTTAATGGCAGGCGTAAGTAAGTAGGTGAGTTATAAAAGAGTTATTTGCTGTAATGAGCCATTACAATCATGTGATTTTTAAGACCACTTTCATTTATCGTATACTAAACTTGTTACCTAGACCCTAGTTCTGAGGATCGCATAGTATCACTGTATTTTACAAGAAAAGTGTAAATCAAGTCTGACTACGTGAACCTGTACTGTAGTGAATGAGTTTAATAAGAAAAAGCGATACCAAAACTAGTGAAAGCTTGAGAGAATTTATAAAACAAATTGATGTCAATTATAATGTTTTACGACCTTATCACATAATTTTTCCAAGACTTGTTGGTTGTAATCAGTTTGATTAATAAACACATAGTCACTATGGTGTCTTGAAAAATAATCGAACTTAGTATTTATTTTCAAAGTCTTTTGATAATTTCGTATTATCAACCAAAACGGTGGTTGTGCGCAATTTATGGATAAGCTAAAACATATAACATTTAAAACTTTAGAGAAATCATTTAATTAAAATATTGAAGTTGTAAATGAAGGATATCATATCAAAATAGAGGAAGCTTTCTCTGTTTTATATCAAGTTCTAAAGAATCTACCTCAAGGAGCTAGATTACTATTGCTTTAAATAGCCGAAGCCATCTGGATCAACTCCAAAAAACCGAACTTATGTATCCAGAAAAGGTATATCCAGCCTCTATGCTTACCTGGGCCTATGACTGGATCAACGGATACCTAAACTGAATATTATAAACCTCTTACCACCTTTCTATTTTTTTAAAATTATATTTATCTTAATCTTCACATCCATCATTCCCGATTCACATGAATTCTTTTTTATCGTAATTATCTTGATAACATCCTCCTTATTACATACCATATTCGCACAACAATATTATTATTACTTCAGTTAACAAGATTAAATTCTCCTACTATGCATTTTATTCACATGATTTTTATTTTCGTTATATTACTATTATACTTCACTTGGTGTTGTTTTGCTTGAATCTTCCCATTGAAGTTTAAGACTGCAATTGATGAGTCTATTATTGACATATGTTCACACTGCGCGGATGCCTCAATATTGCCTTAATTCACAAGCTTTATAAGCAAAGATGGATAGTGCCTAGCAGTGGAATCCATGACACGAGTTTCGTCCCATTTGGGACTCTTCAGCTGGATGTACCTGCATCTCAGAGTTGATGTTCACTCTGGGACTCAAAGCCAGTACCATTCGCTTCAAATGCCATCGCGTTATCCACTTAGCTACTGAGTCCTTATAGCCACTTGAAAATAAAAGACTGATCAATTGCAGTCTTAAACCTCAATGGGAAGATTCAAGCGATATAATGCCAAGCTAGTTTAAATGCACCCCATCGCACAAGCAAGTGGCTATCAGAACTCAGTAGCTGAGCGTATAGTGCGATGGCGTTTGAAGCGAGTGGTACTTGGTTCGAGTCCCAGAGTGAACATCAACTCGGAGATGTAGATGCATCCAGCTGACGAGTCCCGAATGGGACGAAACTCGTGTCATGGATTCCACTGCTAGCCACTATCCATCTTTACTATTATACTCTTTGTGACTGGACAATTTACTAATCTTTATTAAACGACTTTTCTAATTTGCAAATAACACAATCGTGAAGTATACATACCGTAAATGGAGCAAATCTTCACCATTTTATTCATATAACATTGTCGAATTCATTAATACATGCCTTATTTAAGCTTCATTAAAATATCATAATAATTATGGACTTATAACTGTCAAACCTGATGATGTGGTGATTGAAAACTATTGTTCGCTCAATTATTCTTCATTTTTGAATATTCTATAAGGATTTTTAAACTACTGAAATAAAATTTCGAAACTTTTACGACTAATTTCTATATGAAATCAGCTTCTAGGATTATTAGTTTTGTTTTTTATACGATACTTTTCAACTGTCTTGAATTACAATGAACAATATGTAATAATGAAGTCTGAAAATATTTGTTTAATATTCGAAGTATTTTTGTTTTCGATCTTCAATTTATTTAAAAGTATTAAAAATCAACTAACTAGTTAGATTTTTTTTAGAAAAGTTTTAGTACGTAAACAGTACAGTCTACATGATTGATTATATACTATGAGTTAAAAAAAGTTATTTGGTTTGATTAAATCGACACTTTTTCTACTAATGAGAGGCCGTGACCAATGGAGCTAATCCATGTCGGGTAGAAACAGGTATCTACCTCAGTACAATGGAAGATGATCGCGCAATTTCGTGGATTAGTTGAGGTTAGACATTAACAACACTGGATGCCGGCTCAGTGGTCTAGTTGGTTAAGCGCTTGGCGCGAGACTGACAGGTCCTGGGTTTGAGTCTCGCGAGGTGCGGGATCGTGGATGTGCACTGCTGGAGTCCCATAATAGGACGAAACGGCCGTCCAGTACTTCCAGGTTTTCAATGGTGGTCTAACATCAATCGGTTCATGGTGTAAATAAAAAATTTAACAATCTTCACAACCCCTAAACTGATAAACTTATTGCTTAATCAGTATATTGACTAGAACAAATTCTGAAGTTATACATTTCAATGGCTATTTGTGATGCTGTACATACTTCACACATATCATTGATCTTAGTGTATTCTTAACCAAAATCAACTATGATAACAATATGTATGGTTGTAGAATTTTTGTGAACAGACTAAATCGTTAAAATAAAAATTTAACTTGATTAAATGGCTCATTTGTTTTTTTACATTCAACTATCATACTAGTTTTTATAATTCATAAAGTGAACTGTAGACCATGATGTAGTTTTAAAGTTACACTATAAGGTTTTGAAATATCATATTTACAAGTCTTTAAACTATAAAATGAAATCTCACTACAACATTTCAAATAGTTGATTGTCTACAGAGTAGATAAATTTTAAGAAGTCAAAATACACATAATCCTGAAATGTCACTTGAACAAGGTGGGAAATTTAAATAATGTAATGAACATTTAGGATAACCGAGTATTTTCTTGTTTGGTTTGTTTTTGTTGATAATGTTTGGCATGTGGTTTTGGGCTTTCACATTAATCAAGTTGAATTGTTTATACTTTTAATTTTAATGTAACGAATATATTTTTTTGAACCATTAAAATGATCAAGCTCTCACAATTGAATTTCAAACTGAAATATTGAGAGATACAATGAACACTACTGACCAATATCATCTACTATACAGTCAAGGAATTTTCTCTTGTCCCTTTGTAGTTCTACTATTATGACTTATATTTTTGTGAATATATATATATATATAGCAGTATAAATCAATGAGACATACCAGATAGCGTGTGTGAGAGCACAGCAAAAAGAACTCGTTATCATATACGTTTCGTATGAATGTATGTTTTGTTTAGCATGAAAGTGAGCCCATAAATTCATTTTCAAATTCAATAAAGAAAAAAAACATATCAGTTACGTTCTCCAGTTTATTTGGTTTAGTTTTTGTCATTTAAATAGTGGTTCGAATATATTTTAAGATGAAAACTAACTAATGGAATGTTAAGTCACAATCCTAAATACTTAAACCAATTAATTACTAGGGTATTTTTCTTGAATATGGAATTAACAGCATATAATTATGTTCAATATTTAGCTTTGCTACTTTTATCTTGAAACAATCATTTAGGAATCTCAGTAAAATAATCACAGATATCCAAAACACAACGTTAATGTCACAAAAGTTTCTACAATATTTTAAGACATATAATTTTGAAGTTTTCATTAAAGTTAACTGACAAGTTAGTTTTAGCAACCATTTAAATAATTTCCAAAATGCATTGTACATTTAGGTCGATGTAATGAAACTACTATTTTTTTCCCTGTATTATTCACTACTATATTAGAAATATTTATCAGCCACAGTTTCATTGTCATTATTTTACAAACTGTTTGTTTTTTATCAGAAGGGGTTTTGTGAAGATTTTAGAAACTTCACTGATTGAAATCATTAGTCAATTGAAGCTAGACCACCATGGAAAACCTGGAAGCAGTGGATGGCCGTTTCGTCCTAGCATGGGACTCCTCAACAGTGCGCATCCACGACCCGGCACCGCGCGAGATTTGAACTCAGTACCCATCAGTCTCGCGCCAGGTGCTTAACCAACTGGACCTCCGACCTGGCATCCGACGGTGTTAATATCTAACTTCAACCAATCCACGAAGTTGCGCCACCGTAAACCATTGTCATCAGTTTGTTTTTGTTAATTTCTAACTGTTAAACACATTGTAGATAATTAATTTTCAACAAATCAATAAAAATAAATACACAAGGTAAATAATTATTAAGAAAATAAAATTACTCACTTTTCTAGTTTACTTTTCTTAAAGGGACAAGTATAATATTCAGGTGGAGGATTTGGAACATTTTGCGCCATTATAGATGGAATCCCAACTGTTTTCAAAAGAATCTCAGACCAGTTTTTCATTTTAGTGTTTTGCACCTTGGGATATTTTGATAGTTCAAATATAAGTTTAAAAGGATATTAACAAAAAAACTTTGCTTAATTGGCTAGAGAAAAAAATACAACCTCTACTAAGTATTTTTTTATCAAATTAGTACATTATCTCGTTGTTAACCGTGAAAATCATGCTTACGATGGAGATTTGTTCTCTGGGCTGGATAGTTTGGTCGTGGAGCTTTCATTGTTCTTCTGAACGACATCATCAGCACAAACTTCTACCTGAAGTTTGTCGTTCAGGAGAATGACGAAAGCTCCATGACCAAACCATCCATCTCAGAGAACGAAATTCCATCAAAATCATTCACTTGAGCTACAAATCTTCTTCAGCATCTCAAAATCTTGCTTATTTGGTCAAGTTGTGTATCTGAAATAACTCAGTGATAGGCATCATATTTAGTTGTGAGAATTTCGTTAAAACTACAACAAAGGTTATTCAGTTTCATTGGATTGATGTTAAACTAAAAACTATCACTAATTTTAACTTGCTAAGAAATTTTAACCCGAGTTCCTCAAAACCATTAAAATCACAGTTAATGATTGGTGTTACTAAGTGCTGAAGTGAGTTTCAGCATTTATAGAGCTAGAAAGATGGACATTTTTTCTAAAAGACATTAAGCATTGCACATTCAGAAATGTCACTAATCCTTAATGCTGATATTGAAGTGAACAGTATATGTTACGACATTATTTTCCATAAATATTAAAGCAGTCTTAGCATTTCATTTATTTTCATTTCCTAATAACTAAATTTGTTTTCGGCCAGTTATCTTTTACTTATATGCATCAAAGATATCCTGTAATACCTGATAAAGATAACTGCTATCAATGATTATTCTGTTTTAGAACTTGAGTGTTTATAATTGATCTTATGTACTTATTTGCTCTGAAATAAATAAAAAAATTTCCACCGTCAATGAGTAGATGCGGGGTAACAAATGTGATTTTCAGTAACACCTGATTTACAAACACTTTTGTTTCTTAAATAAACATGAAAACCCATAAAGTATGGGAAAATTTTTAGCGATGTCTTTTATTTTTGTGTTTATTTCCAACGAGTATAGGTGTTAACTGGAGAATAGTTAAAAACTAAAATGTGGTGAATTTCTGTTTTATCCTAGACTGAGTAATCTCTTGATTTTAAAATCCAGATTTCGCATACGATTTAGGCAAATATCTTTGGGTCACTCATCAACTACGTTTGATTACTGAGTCATAATCGCAACAAAGCTGATCTATCATTCAATATTGATTATGGTACCAATTTACACTTGTAACTCTAGAAAATTCGGCCTCATATAAGCACTTCGTTTGAAATCGCATTACTGGTAGGCACTAGATAGACTGTTAATACTTCGTAATTATTTCGTTGAGATAAAGAATAATTTTAATGAAATATTTATACATGCGTAGAGTGATCCAATTAACACTATCTCGGGATAAAATGTGGATCCTGATATAAATCAGAACATAAATTCTGAAAGCCTGAGTGTACACGGAGTGGGAACGGAGCTATTTTAATTTGGCCAGTAAATTTTAAGTTTAATGTGGTTCAAACGAAATGTATTATGAAACAACAAAATAAAACATCCTAATAAGTAACAGTTTTAAGACATTACACTGGAAAATACGCCTAATATTTAACAATGAAATACGAACATTCCACATACTTCAAGAGGAGCTCGTAGGTTTAGACATTCAGCATGATGGCACATTAAGTCCCAAGGAATATGCAGCTTCAAATAATGAGTCATCAAGCTTTCGCTCTTGACATCCTCCTAAAAAGTAAAAGCGGCAACTGAATTTTTTGTAACGGAACGGATCAGGAAATAAATTACATATTTTTATTGGAATGAATGGTTGTGGCTGGTTTTTATTGCGAGCTACTCACTCAACTTGAAACTTAAAAATTTTATAAATTCTTTCATATTTCGGAACATTAGCTGGATTGACGTTACTTATTACGCTAATAAGTGAACGAATTTTCATTATTGATAAGTCATCCACTTGTATTGAGGGATGGGTCATTTTTTAATAGCCTTTCAAAACAACTAGTAAAGTGTACTTATTTATAAAAAAACGTAGTGAATTAATTTGCAAATATCTCAGCTCCGGCAGCTTCCAAACTAAAGGTTTCTAGACAACGTTTTCGATTTATTGTTACCCTCACTGTTACTGCTTGATTGTCATATAATATTTGTTGTTTTCTAAAGCTCAAATAAGTTTCCAAAGAGAATCGACTAAGGTTGATGAGATTTTATTTCCGTTATTTACAGCACCATTGAATAGATTTTCCAATGTATATTTTCTGAAACTCTGTTCACAGTAGCACCAAAATACCTCTTCATGACAGGTTCATTTTAAGTCAAGTAATATTTACGCCACGATCCTATAAGGATGCTCGTTAATCAGTTTCAGTTCGTGGATAGTCTGAACTAACATAATCATCCTTAAATTGTATGAAACTGCATTATTGTGTAAATAATCTGAATTTTGCCGACAATACTTGGTATTACACTGTTAAGTCATAAGGGATATTGATTGCATCAACAAAATTTAGAATGATTTCCATGAAATGATATTATCTCTTGCCTTCACAATTGGAAGCAATGTTTACTTCACCTCATTATTGCAATAAAAAACACTTGATTGATTCGAGTACGAGGAAATTTATCATACACAACAAGATGACATTTTTAAGATAATTAGAGAGCGAAAACTATATACTAGTTATGACAGTAAAAATGATGAATATTACATTCCTAAGAAGAATACAATCAAAGTAGATGGTTTTACTACCGATAGTACAATTTCCAATTCATGTATCGTAAAGCTACACATTACAAACAGATCTTCAGCAAAATGTGTTACTAATTATATCTGTTAATGTTTTGTACATACTTTTCATGACCCTTCCTAAAAAGTTATGATAAATGAACTCGCCACAACTATCTCCTTAAACCGATCGCTTCCACGCTTTTTTTTATTTCATTGTCAGAAAAAAGATTTCAAAGGAAATATTTTGATGATATCTTTAAATAAAATGCAATTTATCAAATTTAGTGTTCCATGATGAATTCAGTAGTAAATATATGACTTCTACACATACATCCATCCATTTTGTTGAACTTTCTCTTTGTTTACATTGTGCAAGTAATGCTTTAGATAGAGCCATCAAATTTGAGAGCCTTTATAAATCTTTAACTCAGAGAGTACGTTTTACAAACTTAACCCTCAATTGCTTTCATCGACGCACTATGTATCAGACTTGTTAAAGCCAAAAATGACCTAATACTATAGTTTATAGCTTCAGCTTGTAATGTGTTCAGGTTGAAGGACCTTAACATATATCAGTTGTTTTTATTAAAGTTGGAAAATGAATAGAATGTTACTATTTTCCTTCTCTACCTGACAACTTTAATTAATTAAAATCTAAAATTTTATTTTAAAATAGTATGGAAAGGAATGATAATATGGAGTAATTTCTGAATGTTACAACATCTATATATAATGACCATAAGACAATGAAAAAATTAGGGTTAAGAAGTTCAAATAAAAACAAATTCATATATAAAACTCATATTAATGATTAGAATAAACAAAAGTGACTTCGAATGTGATTTTTCTTATTATGACTGAAGCGTTTAATTATATCATGTTTATATTAATGGAATATCTTGGATTCATTTTTGTACTTTAGATTGAAAGTGTTTTCAGATTATTCGAACTGATCCCATAGTTCAGAAATATTATTGAGATTTTAACACATTTTGTGTGAAGACTGAATATAAGCTTAACAAATGACCCATAAAAGATTAGATTTATTTACAAAATGCCAAACTAAGCGTCATTTGAGAGCTCAGAGAGGATTAGAACTGGTAACACTAGTTCTAGAGCCTCTAGCTATCCAGTCATACAGTAATCTGATATGCATGGCAAATATATGACATAATAGTCAGGTTTTAATTTTACTTGCAGCTTAGTGGTTTACCTTTTAAATATCTAATCATCATGTTTACTTGTGTGTTGTTTTACCACGATAAAGTTTGTTGTCTGTAAAGGTATACGATACAGGATGGTGGCTAGCAGTGGAATCCAAGACGTGCGTTTTGTCCGATATTTGAACTCGTCAGCTGGATGTATCAGCATTCCAGAGTTGATGTTCAGTCCGGGACTCGAACTAGGTGTCCTTCACTCCGAACTCCGTAGCGTTATCTACTTAAACAGTATGAATTTTATCCGCTATTGTTGGCACAATCAGCAGCATAACCGTTTGGTTATTCAGGTAGTAATGACTATCTGAATAACTGACTTAAATGACATGGCCGTTCTCCAAGTGTCAACCAATACCGAGTTGTTGAAATCCAAAATGTATCATAGCCTTTCCAAAAACCATTTTGGAAATCATTCAAACGATAACTTTAAATTCATTTTGTATTGTTTGTATTATTCACCCAATTGCACAGGCTAGTAACTATCATGACTCAGTAGCAAAGTGGGTGATGTAATGGCGTTTGAAGCGAATGATACTGGGTTTGAGTCCCAGAGTACACATCAACCCTGAGATGCAGGTACATCCAGTTGGGGAGTTCGAAATTCGGACGAAATGCGCATCCTGGATTCCGCTGCTAGCCACTATCTATCTTTGATTATAATGCTTAATAAGCTCAAATATTTTTAAAGTTCATTAGTCAAATCCATGGTTTTGTTTTCTGATATTCATACAGACGACATTTGAGGAATCGTTTTCTGAATGAGGTATCCATCTGACAGCCTCAGGCTCTCCTGTATTTTACCAGTCATTTTCACTGTTATAAAGTTCACTTAATTACTTATCACTCTGATACTTTGCTTTCATTTTCAATCTATCAAAGATTAAAAGACCTCACAATAGTTTGTTTTGTAAAAGCCAAAACTAATCGGATTAATTAATTGTTGTTGATTTTTGCACTTGATTAGTATACCATGTGATATGTTTAGTCCGTACCCTTATTGGAGATCGGAAACGGATTTTGTTTTGTCAATCCTGATTATGTTACGTATTTAAATCAAGTTCGTCAGGTTAAATATTTAAAAATTCCTTGTTATTACGCTTTCTATATCAAAAATCTTAATTTCACGTGTTTTACTTTATTTTATTCAACCAAATCATCCAGTTAAATTCGACTTGTTCAAAAAGAAATCCTTAGATCTTTTCAACCAAACAATTAAATGATAACGTAATGGAAAAGAAAACTTTTACTATACATAAAATGCTTCTTATTTCTAAGTACCAAAATCTATTTTGTCAAGCCATTTACCAATAGCGTATTTTAAAGTATACTAACATTTAATAGCTAGATTCATGGGTCATTTAAAGCTTGACCACCATGGAAAACTGGAAGCATTGGACGGCCGTTTCGTCCATACACGCGACTCCTCAGTATGCGCATCCAGGATCCCGCCCCCCGCAAGATTCGAACCCAGGACTTATCAGTCTGGCGCGCGAGCGCTTAACTATTAGACGTTTGAGCCGGCATCCAACGGTGTTATTGTCTAACTTCAACCAATTCACGAAATTGTGCCACCGCACACCATTGTCTTCAATGAGTAACTATCTCACAACAGATCTGGTTGAACTGCACTGGTCACAACTTCTCAATGAGCAGACGGGATCGTGGTTGCGCATTGCTGAGGAGTCTCATGCGAGGACGAAACGGTTATGCAGTGCCTCCAGGTTTTCCATGGTATTCTAGCTTTAATTGACTCATTAATTCGACTATTAAATCATTAAGATCTCCACAAATTCCCCTTCTAGTACTAACATTTATTTATTGTCGTCGCTTGTTGTACCAATCGATATCCAACCTAAATGAGTGTTGTTATACAGAAGTTTGCGCAGAAATTTCAAAATACGAATGAAAACTGTAGAGAGGCAACAAATATGTGAAAAAATCTGAAAAATGTCACTTTATATATATATATATATATATATATATATATATATATATATATATATATATATATACGGATTTTGATTATTTTAGTAAATACAACTTCAATGAACATTTTTCAACTGTTGTTTGCAATTGAAGTAGTCTGATTAACCAATAAACTCATAATCTCAGATACAACATCGAAATAACATTGAAAAAAAACTGCATTATTTGTACGATAATAACAGATTGGCAGACGGAATGTAATAATATGCAAATGAAGATATCTTCTAACGTAGTTACATTTCTTATGCCGAGCTTTTGTGTATAAATTAATGAAATAAAAACTCGTAACGGTGGTTTCAAAACATAGAATTATTGCAGAAATACAATAAGGCAAAGTTTCAAACAATTCATTTTTTTAATGGAACATTTATTTTATGTTCTTTTCAGTCATATGCAGCCCTACAATACACTTGTAAGATTTATTTTGATAAATAACTAAACAATGATACATATATACAGCACATTTGATAAGAACCATTTGAAGCTGACTACCTATGCACTACCTCTTGTACTTATTAGCGTTTTTCCTCAGAAATCACATGACAATTCATATATTTATTGAAATGTCTAGATTCTAATCAACTGCCGAATGTTGTCGTTCGAACGCATTTTTTAATATTTGTGATTTCTGTTATGTAACTCTAGAATTTATAGTGCTGTATTGAGTGGTTTTTGAAAATCTCATCACCATATTAGATCAAAAAGCACTATCATCATAAATCGAACTAACTATTTCAATAGCTCTGAAATTACTGTTCAAACATGTTTTTTTAATTGTTCAAATTAAATATTTAGTTTTAGGTGGATAATTCGCCCTATTTCGTAAACAAGGTGTTATGCGATTCAAAGGGTCAAATTGATGTGTACACTATTATATCAAATGAATAGCTACTTAGATCTTGCTTCGGGATTCATTACTGTATTGGTTAATTTCTATCTAGCAACTTCACTGATGATACTTTTCAGTCTGATTTATCCTCACTGCCAGAGAAAATAATATTGTTTGAGATAATCAGGACTACTAATTATAATTTTCATCATTTACTTGGAACCTGCGGATATATTGCTGGAAACTAACTTGAGTGATGCGTGTTACACGACCTAAATCAGTGTTTAAATTTTAGACTCAGCTTAGTATCAGTTAGTTCTACCGCACAGTTGAGTGAATAGATTACCATTTTACAGCTGGTGATTATGATATTCAATGTACTGAATTAAAATTCGTAGGATTAAACTGTAATATTAATTTTGGCTGGGATGTTTTCTCCATTTTATCGAACGAACTCAATAATAAGTAAGTAATCTGACCGAAATTTGTGCAATTTTCTAAAGGTTTAATTGTAAAGAGGAGTTCAACAACTGATGAGAAATGGTGTTTGACTCTTAAAAAATATGAATTATTTATGTTGAGTAATCGGTAATCTTTGTTTAATCTATATAACCGTCAGAAAAGTTACATTTAAATGAGAATTAAACATGACGGTTACTTATTGATTGAAGCATTAATGAAATTAAAATTTATTTCCTGACCTTATACATAAACATCAAGTTTCATTGTTTAAGCAATGATTTATTGAAGAGAAAATTCCTTGTATCAAAGTATTATTATTAATTAGGTCGCAAGTTCCATATTATTTCCCTTAATCATTAAATCTGAGGGCAGATATCTTACTTCTCTTTTTATCTAGAGTAGAGAAATTTGGCTGAATACTTTTTTCAGCATTAAATAAGATTAGAAAAAACAAAATCTCAGTTGACTATGAAGAAATCAATTATTAGTTTGGAATTTTATTCACTATCAACCAAACGTACTTTCTCAATTTGTACTCCGATTGTTTGCAAATTATCTTCAAATGTCTTTCGATAAATACTATTGATTTTTTTCACTTTATTGATTATAGTTTCATTAACTGGTTCATCCCAAACCAAAACATAATCTTGGAAGGAAGAATATAACACATAATGAAATACATAATCATTTATTAAATGTAATTTTGAAGTCAATTCTTTTGTATATAAAAATTTGTTGTTGTATAATTGATGAAAAACACATAAGTACAGCGCATCCACGATCCCGCCTCCCGCGAGATTCGAACCTAGAACTTATCAGCCTCGTGCGCGAGCGCTTAACCACTAGACCACTGAGCCGGCATCCAACGGTGTTAATGTTTAACTTCAACTAATCCATGAAATTTAGCGACACACCTACCATTGTCATCAGTGAGCTGATATTTCACAACAGACCTGGTTGAACTCCGCTGGTCACTGCTTCTCACTAGAACTCCAGGAAATGCCTGTTGAATTCAGTCACCAGTGAGTAGATGATTATTATCAGAAGGGGTTTTGCGGAGATTAATTAATATTAATTTTGCCTAATTATAATCTATAGTTGATTAGTTGAAAGACAATTACTTTATTTCACTTAATCCACCTAAGGATTTGGATGAAAGTTATATTTTAAAACTCAAATCAAAATCTTGTGTAGTCATCGAAATCCAAGTATTTGTATCCTAGAATCTACATATTTTAACTGTAGTTAACTATGCAGATAAATCAAAATACTTATCAAAAACTTTTGATAACTTACTGTCCTATTTCTAACATCGTTGACTCAAATGGTTATGATTTCTTATTACGGTTTTAATAAACCTTACCAAAACTAGTCACCAGTAAGCATATGGTCGGTATCGATTTTAAGACAATAATTACATTTCAATTACAATTAAATTTTATAAAATCATCATTGTATGAAGTAATTGTTGTAATATTTTTTTAATATCGAATAAAAGGTATCTGTACTTTGACAAATGTAATCACTTATAAATGATGATTTATCTCAGTGAAATAGACGCGATTATTCGTCTTGTAGATAAGATATAGTGTTAAAAACTGTTTATTCAACATGTTTTCAACATTTGAATAAACGAACATGTTTCACTTCAGTGAATTCATTGAATGTTAGAATAAAACAAAGCTAGTGTAACTGTTTAACGAAAAAGTCTGCAAAGATATAAAAAAAGTGGCTTGAAATAATACAAATGTTTTCCGTTTGTATGAATAATCATATGGCTTATAAATAACATAGCATTTGTGCTCATTGATTCAGAAGTCATGGAGTTTCTATGCTATATGAAACAAAAATCTTCGGTACTGTTTATTTACTTACCATTTTAGAATCCAGATCTGTTCCCTGTGATAAGTCGGTGCTGTGAATTATGACGATATTCAGTAATTTGTTTTAGAACTATGGCCGTAAAATATGTATTTTGCAGCAAATTTCATTTCATAAGTTTTCTTAGATTTTGTGTAATCTTTATATTACAGAATCTGAGGATCGTATAATGTAACCATTTATTTAGAAATTTACTTATTTAACTATTGGGAACAACGATATCTGACATTAATCTCAATTAATACTAGTTTTATGAGGGTTTCAGATGTATCTATTAACATTGGATTATTTTTCATAAGTCAGACTGAAGTCTACGACAGTTTTATATGAAACAATGAAAACAATATGCAAGAGAAACCTAGAATTGTATTCATTCAAATTGTTATTTGCAATTTAAATATACAATCCATTAACTGACCAATTTTTCTTTTTCCATCATTAAAGTAATATCCAAAATCTGAGTGTATTTGACCCTGTAGAGAACAGAAAAATAATAATGCATTAGATATCGGTAGTGAAAAACTCATAATTGGAGACGCACATAGAGTTTATCGTAAAGAAATGATGTGAACTTATCGAAAAAAAGATAAATACCTGGATATGTTTCATTAAAATGATAGATCTTTTAGTCCACAAGAGTTTTTCAAAGTATAGATAATCTTAACTGAATATTAGAGTAATTCATTTTTGTATTAGTTGTTTGAATCTTCTCATTGATGTTTAGAACTGTAATTGATCAGTCCTTTACTAGAGCTCTTGTGTTTATTGATGTCTATCATTAAACTTGTTTTTTGTCTTAACTATTACTAACATTGTCAATAGTCGATGTTTCAAAATCGAAATGTACAAAATGTTATTTCTACTAAACGACAGACATAACAAAGCCGATTGATCCGAATGCATTTTAAATCTTTTACTGTTTCAGCTAGTGTGTATTAGCCATCCAGACTCGATTAAACTGGAGATGAATTATAGGCGAATCTTACGATGATAATTTATTTGGCGAGACTATAATTTATGGACGAACTGATCTGATTTAGGATAACAGGTCTCGAATTTTTGTGCAGAATTCATACATCCATTTGGCTAAATAGCGTTTTGGCGTTTAAGCTGATGTCAGTTCGTGATGAAAGTATTAAATCTAATGCCTAACCCCAACCTTAACCATAATCATTATCTTGATTACTCACACTGGTTCATAACCCCCATTTAACACTAGCAAGTAGGTGGACACATTAAACGTCACTTTAACGTCGCTCAAAGGTCGTCCATGAATTATTGTCACACCATTTATTTAACTACGAAGTTATTGAATTTTCAAACAATCTGGTCATTAATCTTAGTGTTACAGCTACAAATTCATTTACTTCTGATGGATTTCAATATTGATTTGGTGAGTTATTATTAGATAAACTCTAAGGTCATTTTATATAACTAGGGTAGCTGTATATGGGGATACGTTTCATATCGCCGAAAGTCCTGTTCAGCAAAGAAGAAATAGTGAGAAATTATTGAAACCATTATTCTAGTTTTCATTATGTTGCACACAATAAGTGAATTAATTAATCCACTCTAAAAGATTCATTCTTGATTGAACTTCTGAAATAAACGATGTTTGTCAGAGTCAATAGGACTCTGAACATCAATTATTACTTTCAAGTATATGTATGGAAATATGGAATAATAAATGGTGACAGAGTAGTTATATTTAATTTCGGTTGAAGGTTTTCTGTAATCATTTATACTGTTGAGTATTACAAAAGTATTACATAGCATGATCCCTCATAAAAACACAAAATAACGTTTTTGAAGCTAACAATTCATTTCAAATCATAAAACGTCTAATGACTGAGTTACGAATTGACTCAATAGAATAGATTTCTAATGTGTTAATAATAACAGATTATATTGGATAAATGTTATCTGAACCAATTGAATTATTTCTTAGCTTATTATAACCTGGAATCAGGGTATATTCACATAACATTATTCATGTTCATGAATAACTATTACTCATTACAACAACATAGTGCAACTACAGAAGTCAATCTGTACTTCCGGAAAATAAAGTTGAAAATATAAAATATAAAACAGTAGAAAATATAAGCGGGCAAAAGTACTAACAAACTAAATGAATAAATGAGCATATGAAATGGATAAGCTGGTGTGGAAAGAAAATATTAGTGACAGTAGTGAACTTGGTTTGTTTTAATACTTGATTGAAAACTCTATACGACTGGATCACTTCTTTGAATTAAAAAAAATAATGTTTAATTAAATAAGATCTATTCAAAAAAAGTGATACATAATGATGATATATGAACAATCAAATTTCTGAATTAGAACTTATTCTACAAAGTCAAATGTATGAGTTACTTTAAATGGTGCCTTCAACTAGGGAAAATGTTATAGTCAGTTCTCTACATCTAGTGTTTATTTCATCATGTTATCTATTTTATGGTGATGAATAGCGAAATACAATCGGATGTATAGTATCATACTCTATTTGTTATCTGTACTCTATAGATAATGAACTAATGAACTATAATGAATTAAAGGTGAAAATTCCGAATATTTCTTTATTTTCTTAGTTGATCTTGTTTAAAAGACTAAATAACAATTATTAAATTTAATTAACAGAACAGGGAGATTTAAAGTAAAATGACCCCACTGGTAACTGTTCAGTTCATACAATCAATCATTAACAAATTCATTTTGTCAAATGTGGTTTGAATGTGTGTAATTACAAGTAATGGTTTCATTATCTTAGAAAAGCAATACGTATATAAACGATTATTTCATTCAATATACCGAAATATTTAAGTAGTATTTACTCATTACTCAAAAAAAGAAAGTGAGATTATATTTTAAAGCAAATCAAATGAGGATTTTACATAAAGGAGTCACTAATGAGTGGGTAGACATTTTAAAAATAGGTAAGATATTACTGATATAAGTTAAAGTAGGGTAAAGTTTAATACTCGATTTCACAAAATAAAGTTATGAAACTCTACAGTAAGAAAATCAAAATGTGAAAAGCTAAAAAAAATATAAGTTATACCAATAGAAGTGATAAAGAAAACCAACTAGGTTTAATGCCAGCTTCGTGTTTTTGTGTGAAGTGTCATTGATGAGTTACGTAAAACTAAGCGAAACACCATTTTGGGCTTAGTTTGCCTGAATACAGTAATGAAGTAATTAGTGACTATACATCTCGATATTTTCAAAATGTTTTTTTCTTTACATTATCATTTATGTCACGAATAAGTATTGATGGTATGTTTAGCTTTTATTAAATAGGTTCAATGCTAGTACTCAAAGACTGACAACTGAAATAGTTAAACAAAATGACATCACATTTTGTTAAATTAATGTTCAGACCCCATGAAACAGAAATTGGATTGTAAAACATGTATCCTGTTCATTATGTTTGATTTCATTGTAGAAAATGTCTAGACAAAAATAAACTATTTCATATCATATTCAATTTTATTATTCAGTGATTAAATGCTAGGTGTATTGTAAATCTATAGAAATATGAAGAATGGATATTATCTGATGTTGATTATTAGTTTTACATTGCTATCATTTTGTATAAAATCATTTCTAAGCATTATCATTTGTGCAGCTATCTTAATTTAAAGTTATATAATCACTGAACGTATTTCTAAATTTGAATAGTTTATTCATTAAACACCATTAGTATATTACTACTTAAACTAGTGGTTTAAATGACCTTGTTTCATTAAATAAAGTTAAACATTATTACCGTTTGATGCCGGCTCAGTGGTCTAGAAGTTAAGAGTTTACACACGAGACCGAAAGTTCTGAGTTCAAATCCCGCGAATGGGATCTTGGATGCGCACTATTGAGGAATTCTATACTAGGACGAAATGGCTGTCCAGTGCTTTCAGATTTTCCATAGTGATCTAGCTTTAATTGACTCATGAATTCAACTATTAAATCAACCATAATTAAATGAACTTGTGTTTACAAATATCCTTTCAACTTATTTGTTTTATGCAGTTCTTCCTGTTTAACATATTTGAATAAAGCAAGAAAAACAAACTTACCAGAATAATTACCATTCAATAATATTACATAAAATTGTATTAGGTTAAAGAGAATTTATAGAACAAGTGTATTCATATTAGTCTGCTACATATATTCTTGTTTTTTTCTTAACAAATTTCTTTCTTTCAACTTAATCATGCTAATAGAATATTACCATTTATGAAAATTCATCTACAATGAAAGTTTAGAAATAATCACCTTGTATTTGAAAATAATCCAGCTCCATTGAATCCTCATCAAAGCAGCACATACAAACCTTCCTATAGATGTCACTCCACTAACAACCCAAGAAATCAAGATGACCACTAGACAAATCAAGAGCGAGAAAGTAGCAGGACCTGATAATATACAAGTTGAAGCACTGAAGTCAGACATTGATGCAACTACAAACATGCTTCACCTTCTATTCAAGAAGATTTGGGAGGAGGAATAAGTGCCGACGGACTGGAAAGATGGATAGTTCATCAAGATTCCGAAGAAAGGAGACCTGAGAAAAGGTGAAAACTACACGGGCATCACATTACTATCAGTACCGGGAAAAGTTTTCAACAGAATGTTGCTGAACCAGATGAACGACTCAGTAAACGCCAAACTTCGAGATCAACAGGGTGGTTCCGTAAGGATAGGTAATGCACAAACCAAACCGCGACACTACGTATCACCGTTGAACTCGTCACTATACATCAACGTCATAGACTATGAGAAGGCGTTTGGCACTGTGGACAGGAGAAAATTATGGAAACTTCTTCGACACTATGGAGTTTCTGAGAAGATTGTCAACATTATCCGGAACTCATACGACGGACTACAGTGAAAAGTGGTTCATGGAGGACAGCTGACAGGTGCATTCCAAGTAAGGACCGGAGTGAGATAAGGCCGTCTACTCTTCCCATTCCTCTTTCTTCTGGTGATCGACTAGATTGTGATGACCTCGACATCTGGGGTAAAACACGGAATACAATGGACAGCTATAAACCAGTTAGACGATTTGGACTTAGCAGATGACCTAGCCCTCCTATCGTATGCACACGAACAAATGCAGAAGAAGACAGCTAGTGTAGCAGCAGTCTCTATATCAGCAGGCCTTAACATACACAAGGGGAAAACCAAGATCCTCAAATACAACATGGAGAACACCAACCCGATCACTCTTAATGGAGAAGTTCTGGAAGAGGTGGAATCTTTCACGTACCTAGGAAGAATCAGTGATGGATAAGGGGGATCCGATGCAGACGTAAATGCGATAATTGACAAAGTTAGGGCCGCATTCCTACAGTTTTAGAACATATGGAACTCGATACGGCTGTCAACCAATATCAAAGTCAGAATCTTCAATACGAACTTCAAGACAGTTCTACTATACGGAGCTGAAACATGGAGAACTACTACAACCATCATC